TGCAATAATCTATAGTATAAAAAATGTTTACTACAAAGCTATCTTTTAATAACATTAACAGTCTAACCTCTTAGATAACTTCACATTGAGAAAAAAATTAAGATTTTTCTCTATACCACTCGATTCCAGGATATTCTTCATATTTCTAGGTATTTTGACAGTTTGTACACACATGCAGATGTGAACTTAATAAAAGCTAAACTAAATTATTTAGGTACTTAAGCCTGAGGGAAGTATGCTAGAATACAAAAAAATAAAACACACAAATAAAATTAATTAGGGTGAAATTTAGGCACCTAAGAATATTTAGGTGTTTTAACTGTGCTGTCAGAGATGAGGCAACACAGTCATCATCTGACCCAGGGGATTTCAGCCTATAGTATTGTCTGCATCACCTGAGGAGCTTTTTTTTGTAGCTTGGTCCCACTCCTATAGACTTTGAGTATTTTTTAGTTTTACCATCTGTCCATTGAAAATTATCTGCATTTGATATGATGAACTTTTTTTCGTGTAGCTTTGGTTATAATTTAGGTTCTTTAACTTCTGTAATTAAATTTTAAAATTATATATTTGGAGTTCTGTGTTATTAACTAGAGTATAAGAGTATAGATCAGGAGTTTATAGATACAAAGAAGTAGGTAGGATAGATAAGATAGATAGTGAGATTATAATACACAGCTACAATATAACTATGCTGTTTCCTGGGTTTCTAAAGAAAGCTTTTTTAGACACTTCCACCCTCCGTGCTTCTCAGTTGTCCTGTTGGCTGTTACTCTTTGACTCTATACTGACAGTAGAGAGTAGTTGCAACAGTGAGAAAAGCAATGTGGCCCATAAAACCTAAAATACTTGCTATCTGGACCTTTATAGGAAAAGAGGCTGAACCTTCATCTTTTATTGGTGCAGACAGTTGCTGATTGTTGACCTTGACAAAATTTTATCCTTAATTCAATTTGATATATTTTTATATTCACAATAATTTTGTTTGGATTGTATTTGCTTTAGGGTGTTTTTACCTTACAGTTGCTAGATCTGATTATGTAAAACAGATGGAGTGAATTTAAAGGAATTGTCATTTTTAATGTTATCCTTTAAAATTAAAAAGTCTATGGTACAAATTACATAAGGTATAGAAACAATAGGCTTTTGGAACTGAAGAGATAGTGTCATCATCTGACCTAGGAGAAGCTCTTGACCCCTGTTGTGCTTTAGAACCTCCTGATCAGCTTCCTAATCAGATTCTTATTCCTGTAGACTTCAGTTTGCTTAGTGTTGGGACTTGGGTTTTGTTATTTTAGAAGCATCACAGGTCATATAGCCAGGGTGAGGACCACTGATCTTGTCTTACTCGATTTATAAATGAATTTTCAAGACATGAAGGTTCTCGGTGAGGGAGCTGGAACAGAATCTTATTCTCTTGACCTAAGTCCATTATATTCTCCAGTCTAGACCACAGTGGTCAGTGTTTTAGGCTTAGTTGTAGCTACTGATTTTGAAATGTCTATTAATCTATTTTGTTGCAATTTGTGACACTCTTCACCTAACAAAGATCATTGCCTAAGGAGCATATTTTTGGTGCTTACCAGTTCATTTTAAAAACAGCTTAGATTTCAGTTGCAGAATGGGAAGATAGTTATTCTTGCTGTTTTCTTCTCAAATGAAGGTGTTCCTCAAATTACATAAGGTATAGTAAAAACTTAAAGTAAAAAGTTACACTTGAAAGTTTTTGTGAGGGCTGGCAAGTTGGCTTGGAGGTTGAGTACGTGCTGTTGTTTAGAGAACTGAGTTCAGTTTCTAGCACCCACGGTGATGGCAGCTCACAACCATCAGAAATTTACATGCCCTCCCTCTTCTGGCCTCAATGGGTGGCATGTGTGCGCGTGCGCACACACACACACACACACACACACACACACACACACACACACACACACACAACTTTAAGCCTTGCATAGAAGAGAGGAGAAATTCAAGATCTTATAATGAATTTATATTCAGATGCTATCATGAGTGAAATGCTTTATACACTTGATACCTAAGATACCTAAGCTTTTTCTTAGAAGTTTTAATCAGGATATTCACTGGGTAAAATTTAGTGCTTTTCAAATTGCCTCTGTTTCTGATCCTGCTAGTCTTATTTCCTTAACTTTGAGAGCAATGGAAATAATCAACTACATACTCTGCTTAGAGACTCTTCAGTGGTGCTGGTTGGTAGTGACATTGACCAATCTCTGATACTTTCAGTTTGCCAGTTTTTCCTCTGACCTTTTCCAGTTCTGTTCATAAAGGTTTCTTTCATAAGTAAATTTGAACCCAGGTTCAAGGTGAGTTCAGAATATACTCAAATTCATTCAATCCTTTTTTTTTTTTTTTTTTTTTTTTCTAAATGCAGGGTTGTACATATTTTAATAATTGTCTTATGTATCTGGTATTTAATGCTGACAGGATTCCAGTCAATGGAGAGGTTTCATTGCAAGTAGCTGCAGGTGTGTTTCATGGTAGAAATAAAAGTTTTCAGTGAAGCAGATTTTATTTTTAAATATATTCTAGTAAATAATGAATATAGATGTTGATATTGTGGGGCAATATGGTATATTTTTTGTTTGTTTGTTATGCCATACTAAGTTGAAATTTGAGTTATAAGGTCAAAAGTATCAGATACCAAATATAAAAGATTTAAGAACGGTAAAAATGCTACTTAATAACTATTCTTAAATATTATAGTGAATAAACTTTAAAACTCTTCATTTATATGAAGAGTATTTATAAAAATTGTTTCATTTATAAAACACTTGTAATTGTTTTCATGTGGTACTGTTAATAGGACTTCCTGCCAACCCTGCTTAATGACTACTTTGCTTTTATGATTTTCCTTTTCCTAGAAAGCATAATTATTTTACCTATTTGACCATTCTAAGAATTATGGGAATTTGCTCAAGGGTTGTTACTTTCAAAGCAGTTGTAATGAAAAGACATGTTTATAGTGACTTGAATTTTAGGCTGTCAGATTTAAAAATTGAGAAAATTTTTGTAACTCTTTGGTCTTGATATTTTATGCTGAACTCACTACATAATTATGAATACATTTATTAAATTTTTTAATCACTTTTGGTCCATAGCAGTAAGACTAATTCTCTGTAAAGCTTTCACCAAAAAAACCAAGACATGTGTCATTTATTTTGCTTTTTCAGCTAGTTACAGCCAGCAGACTGGACCCCAACAACCTCAGCAGTTCCAGGGATATGGCCAACAACCAACTTCCCAAGCACCGGCTCCTGCCTTTTCTGGTCAGCCACAACAAATGCCTGCTCAACCACCACAGCAGTACCAGGCGAGCACTTATCCTCCACAAACTTATACTACCCAAACATCTCAACCTGCTAATTACACTGTTCCCCCTGGCTCTCAGCCTGGAATGGCTCCAAGCCAACCTGGTGCTTACCAACCCAGACCTGGTTTTACGCCATCTCCTGCAAGTACCATGAACCCTCCTTCCAGTGGGGCTAACCCTTATGCTCGTAACCGTCCTCCATTTGGTCAGGGCTATACCCAACCTGGACCTGGTTATCGATAAGGAGGTTCAACTGCACTAATGATGGCTAATTGCCTCCCAAAAGACTACAATACTATTTTGTTTCAATTTGTATTGTATTGAAGTTCGAAAATTTAAGAAGCAGAGCAATTTTTTATGATACCATTGTTGCTGTTAATTGAAAATATAATTTGCTGGAATACAAACACAAAAAGACCAAAATGAACATTGTTTCCTCCCCTGCTTAAAATTGTAGCAGCTTCCTAGTTATTTTGGAACACTACTCTACATGCGTGTAAAATGACTGGCTTTCTAGTTTCCCAGAGGACATTAAAAAGCTAGGCTAAGGTATAGCCATTACAGTTGGCTATTTACTATTAACATGATGTACTAAAAATAGAGCCCTTTGAGAAGATGACTAGACTTATGTATAAAATGTAACATCGATAGGCTAATAAACGTGATTGAATCCAATAGTGGTCTTGTAACAATTCTTTTAGACATAAGGAAAATAGTCCTTTTACAGAAATTATGAAATTGATCTCCATTCAGGAAAAGAAATGTAACAATCTTGATTGATTCATAATATAAACACAGGAGGGGTAGTTCTTAATTTTCTGGGTTTTTTTTTTTTTTTTTGGAGATAAAGGTATAGTTACAGATTGACAAAAATATTCAGAATATTTTTAAAAACCTACATCTTTTATTGCAGTGTTTATACTTGCTTGAAAATATGTAGCATTGAGAAGACTGAAGCATGTTAAAAGATACACAACAGAAAAGTTTTCAGGGCAAGCAATAATATTCTTGGCTCTCTCCCACACATGAAGGAAAGCAATATTTTTTTTTTTTCATGAAAATGAGTCAGTTTTGTTACAGCTTGAGGAAACAGTGTCACAAAAACATCCTATGATACATTCAGTCATGGCCTTAACATATAAATATATAATATTTCCTATAAAACAATAGTTTCTCACCATGCATTATCTTTTCATGCTGACTTCACACTCAGTCTCTGCATACAGCTTGAACAGAACCATAGAGCCGCTTTAAAAGTTGCTTAAAGGAAGAGTTTAAGAAAGTATTTTTAGACATACTCTTATGGGTACAGGAAAAAAAAATTATCATTTGACTCATCAGATGTTTCTGGCTGAAATAAAATTATACAGATTCAGGATTTTCTTTTCAGTAATTTTCTAGTAGCTTATGGACTAGTTATTTTCTAGTAGCATGGGTAGTTAACTGAAAATCTGTTTATCTGATGCTAAATGGAAGATTACATCAATGTAAATATTAGAACCACTTTCTGGCACATGTATATTATGCTGAAGATTATTTGATCCAATAAGTTAAACCAAGAAGAGATTTATGGAATTAACTCGCCAACAACACATACACATCAATAAGTAGATACTTTTTATAAAGCATATTAAAGATTTTTGACATTAATTTTGTTATAAAAGTATCTGAAAACATTACAACAGTATGATAAATAATATACAAATGATCTCTTAAAATATCATGAGTAGGGAGCCAGCTTCCCTAACAATGTTAATCTATTAATGTTAATATTTTGTTTTTTTAAAATGACTTTGTAAACCTTGATAAATATTCTCCGTAATCTTTTCTAATAATAAACATTTAGTACTGCTATCAGTTAGATTACAAACTTTTATACATAGTAAACAAAATAGCTTTGAGTAGATGTGACAAACGTAGTATTTCCAATGGGTTCCTTTTTTTGTTTCTTTTTGTGATAACAAACCAGAAGTACTTTGGAAATAATTTTGCTGCATCTACCATTTTCCAGGTATTGTGGTCCCACATTCATACCACTGGACATAATTGATTTGGGTATGACCACCTATTTCTCCAAATTGGACAGGTTCCTGACGAACAGCTCTGAAATAGCCTAAGAGAAAAAAACAGTTTAGTTTAACAGCGTTTTTTTTTATTTTTGCCTGCATTATTCACAGATGTAAGGCTGTTCAGTGGCTGAAGATTTTTCTGAGTGAAGCAAAGTAATTTAGAAAAATAGTAGCTGTAGTGGATCTGATGTTTATTTGGTAATACAATGGCCATACGACTCGAAATTTTGACATTTGTCTTAGCAAGTCAGTACTATATCGGAGTAGTTTCAGCAGCCCATTATATCCAAGTATCTTGCAGAGCCATCTTTTAAAACGTGTGGTGTTTTTGTGTCCATGAACAAAATATGTTACTGAAAACCTCCTCACATAATTAGAAGTATTTAAAAGAATCTCCTGGTGTTTCCGGAGTGATGAGGGCAATTTACTTCTTTCTGCCCTGCTTAGGCAAGGACTAAATTTTCAGTCCTCATTATAAAGCCTGCTGTTAATATGTATTTAGCAACTTGCTGAGAATATTTGCTTCTCAGATTTATTTTAATTGTTTTATATAGATTTTTTTTTTTTTAAGGGGAAGACTTTTTTCCTGTGTAGTAGAAGTAATTTTTTTCTAAAAATTTTTAAGGGAGCAAAAAAGCTTATCAGGTGTTTTCCCTATGTCTAAAGCTGAGGGACAACTGTGATTGGACAACATGAGTGATGTAAACTTGGAAAAGATTTCTTTTTTCGGAATACATTTATATATCTCATTTCTTTAGAGCTGAGTTTTAGTTGGGAGTTAAGTTTCTTCTTTCCCTAGTGATACAGTAGCAGTTCTGTAGCCTTCTGTGTTAGCTGGTGGCTCTTTGTGCTCATCTGCAAAGCCCTGTACTTAGGGTGACTACAATGCATACCTTCTTTGGTGGGTAACTGGTCAGAGGTGAGTTGCTGTCCTGTGCGACCATCTAAAAATGAATCCACAAACTGGCAGTGATCTTCTCCGTGGCCCCTCTGATCTCCTATGTTGTAAAACTTGCCTGAGGACCAGAAATGAGACAATGTTCTTTTTCTTTAGTGTATGAAATTCCATAATTATAGTCTGTCTTGCTTTTTCCCACGCTCCCCAGAGTTCAAGACATTAGCATATCATGAACTACAGAAGTTTCCTAGCAGATGTCCTTGCTTGTAGTCATACCTAATGTTCTCCTTTCCCCATTCAGATCACAGTGATTTTTAAAAATGCAGATGTCATTATTCCATCCATAATTCTCTCTAGCAATCTCCTAGTATACTCAGAATATAACTTTTCCTTTACTAAATCTCAGCAAAACCTAGTAGGACTGACAAGTGTGTCTTTCCTTAGGCCTTTGTACTTTCTTTCCTTTACCTCTCCAGAGATCTTTTGTTCCTAGACTTTTCTGTAGTTGATTATGTCTCAAAATTTTAATCAAAGCACACATACTTTTCATACAGACCTTCCCTAAAACTGGTCTACTAAGTAGCCTCCATTTTGCTGATCCATTCTCTCTAACCTATTTAAAATTGTCTTCAAAGACCCTGAGTAGCATTTGTGTATAATATAGAGAAGCAGGAAAGTTAAGCTACATGAAAACAGGAACTTAGCATCTGGTGCATTTTCATCCACCAGCACCCCAGAGCAGTACCTGATGAAGAAGTAAACAAAGGTCCATCTTTCTATGTTGGGACCAGTCTTTCCACATATGAATGTAGAAGAAAACATTTACAATTGAGTATAGTGCAAGGGGTTTGTGCTCTTCTGACATCTTAAGGATGTTGTGTTCATTTCATGATAAATAGTCGAATTTTAATTCTTGGATGGTTGTGATCGAGTTTTGCTGTGTAGGAGCCTACCTGTGCATTCAAGTTGATCCCTGGTATCACTGTTTCACATTACATATTTTAATACCTGCCTCCAAATTGCAGATCTGTAAGTCCTTGTTTCTAAGATTAACTGTTGTAATTACTTCTGTAAAATCTTTTTCTGAAGGAAACTTGTGTAAAGTGCTGAGTCTGAAACTCTTCACAGAAAGGCTAGGGTGAGTCCTATGGAACACCAAATAGACTAGACCAGAAAAGAAACTCCTCACATCACATAATAGTCAAAACACTAAACCTACAGAACAAAGAAAAAATATTAAAAGCAGCAAGGGAATAGGCCAAGTAACATATAACGGTAGACCTATCAGAATCAGATCAGACTTCTCAAAAGAAACTGAAAGCCAAAAGGGCCTGGGCGGATGTCAGGCAGATGCTAGGGACCACAGATGCCAACCCAGACTACTATACTCAGCTAAGCTTTCAATCAACATAGATGAAGAAAACAAAATATTGCATAACCAAACGAAAAAACAATATCTATACAACAACCCAGCCCTACAGAAGATACTAGAAGGAAAACTCCAATCTAACGAAATTAACTACAGCCAAGAAAAACACAGAATATAGATAACTTCACAACAAAAAATTAAAAGAAAACAAGCATAGGAACACAGTAACACCACCAACTCCACAATAAAAGGAACTAACATTCATTGGTCACCATAATCTATCAACATCAAAGGACACAACTTTCAAATAAAAAGACACAGACTAACAATGATTGCAGAAACAGGATCCAACATTCTGCTGCATCCAAGAAACAATTCTGCAACAAAGATAAACATTACCTCAGAGTAAAGGACTGGAAAAAGGTTTTTAAAGCAAACAGACCCAGAAAACAAGCCAGAATAGCTATCCTACTATCTAATAAAATACTTTAAACCAAAATTAATCAAAAAAGATGAGGAGAGACACTTCATTCTCATCAAAGAAAAAATCCAGCAGGACTTCACAGTGCTGAACATCTATGCCCCAAATATTAGAGGACCTACATTTGTAAATGAGACATTATTAAAGCTTAAATCATACATTGATCCCAAGACCTTAATAGTGGGAGACTTCAACACTCCATTCTCATCAAGGGGACAGATGTTCTAAACAGAAGTAAAACAGGGAAATAATGGCACTTATAGAGGGTCCCAAATCAAATGAACCTAATAGAGGTCTACAGAATTTTTCACCCAAACTCAAAAGAGTATACCTTCTTTTAAGTACCTCATGGAACCTTATTGAAAATTGACCATATATTTGGGCACAAAGCAAGCCTCAACAGATACAAGAAGATCAAAATACTCCTTTGTATCATATCATATACCACCATGGCCTAAAACTAGACCTTGACAACAACAGAAATAACAAAAAGCCTACATACACATGTAAACTAAACAACTCTCTACTCAATGACAGCTTGGTCAGGAAAGAAATAAAAAGAGAAACTAGAGACTTTCTAAAATTCAATGAAAATGAAGGCACAACCTATCCAAACTTATGTGACACAATGAAAGCAGTGCTAAGAGGAAAGTTCATAGCACTAAGTGCCTCCAAAAAGAAGTTTGAGGCATCTCATTCAAGCAACTTAACAGCACACCTAAAAGCCCTAGGGAAAAAAAAAGTAGAAACACCTAAGAGGGATAGACAATTGGAAATAAACCCCAAGCTGAAATCAATGAATTAGAAACAAAACAACTCAAAGAATCAGTGAAACCAGAAGCTGGTTCTTTGAGAAAATCAACAAGATAGACAAAGAATCAGTGAAACCAGGAGCTGGTTCTTTGAGAAAATCAACAAGATAGACAAACCCTTGGCCAAGCTAACTAAAAGACAGAGAGAAACTATCCAAATCAGCAAAATTAGAAACAAAAGGGGGGACATAATAACAGACAATAAGGAAATCCAAATAATCACTAGGTCTTACTACAAAAGCCTATAATACCAAAAATTTGAAAGTCTAAATGGACAATTTTCTTGATAGATTCCATTTACCGAAATTAAATTAAGATCAGATGAATAGATTAAAATAGTCTATTATCTCCCAAGGAAATAGAAGCTCTCATCAAAAGTCTCCCTTCCAAGATCAGATGGTTTCAGCAAAGAATGCTACTAGACCTTCAAAGAAGAGCTAACTCTAATTCTCATCAATCTATTCCACAAAATAGAAACAGAAGGAACACTACCAAACTCATTCTATGAAGCCACAGTCACCTTGGTACCTAAACCTCACACCTCACAAAGACCCAACAAAGAAAGAATTTCAGGCCAATCTCCCTTATGAACATTGATGCAAAAATACTCAACAAAATATTTGCAAATTGAATACAAGAACACATTAAAGATATCATCCACTATGACCAAGTAGGCTTCACTCCAGATATGCAGGGATGGTTCAATATATGGAAATATAACAATTTGATCCACCATATAAACAAACTGAAAGAAAAAAGTCACATGGTCATCTCCTTAGATGCCAAAAAAGCATTTGACAAAATCCAACAACCTATTCATGTTTAAAGTCTTAGAGAGATCAGGGATACAAGGCACATACCTAAACATAGTAAAGACAATATACAGCAAGTCTATAGCCAACATGAAACTAAATGGAGAGAAACAAATCAATCCCACTGAAATCAGGGACAAGGAAAGGCTGCCCACTCTCCCCATATCTCTTCAACATAGTACTTGAAGTCCTAGCTAGAGCAATAAGACAACTAAAAGAGATCAAGGGGATACAAATCGGAAAGGAAGAAGCTCAAGTATCACTATTGGTAGATGATATGATAGCGTATGTGAGTGACCCCAGATAATCAACCAGAGAACTCTTCAGCTGATAAACACCTTCAGCACAGTGGCTGGATACAAAATTAACTCCAAAAAAATCACTAGCCCTCCTGTATAGAAAAGACAAAAGGGCCGAGAAAGAAATTAGGGAAACTACACCCTTCACAATAGCCACTAATAACATAAAGTACCTTGGTATGACTAACCAAGCAAGTGAAAGACCTGTTTGATAAAATCTTCAAGTCTCTGAAGAAAGAAACTGAAGATATCAGAAGATGGAAAGATCTCTCCAGCCCCTGGATCCGTAGAGTTAATATAGTGTAAGTGTCTATCCTGCCGAAAACAATTTACAAATTCAGTGCAATTCCCATCAGTATACCAACAGGATTCTTTACAGACCTTGAAAGAACAATTCTCAATTTCATATAGAAAAATAAAACAATCCAGATTTGCTAAAACAATCCTGTACAACAACAGATCATCTGGAGGTATCTCCATCCCTATCTCAAGCTGTACTATAGAGCAATAGTAATAAAAACTGCATGGTACTGGCATAGAAACAGAATGGGGCATCAATGGAATCGAAGACCCAGAAATAAACCCACACACCTACAGATGCTTGATTTTTGACAAGGAAGACAAAACCATACAATGGAAAAAAAACAGCATCTTCAACAAATTGTGCTGGTTTAACTGGATGTCAAATCCATATTTATCACCCCGCACAAAACTAAAGTCCAAATGGATCAAAGGTCTCAACATACAACCAGACACACTAAATCTGTTAGAAGAAAAAGTGGGGAATACCCTTGAACTCATTGGCACAGGAGACAACTTCCTGAACAGAACCAACAGCATAGGCACTAAGATCAACAATCAATACATGTAACCTCATGAAACTGAAAAGCTTCTGTAAAGCAAAGGACACCATCATCAAAACAAAATGACTGCCTACAGACTGGGAAAGAATCTTCACCAACCATTTATCTGACAGAGGGCTAATATCCAGTATATATAAAGAACTAAAGAAGCTGAAAAGCAGCAAACCAAGTAATCTAATTAAAAAATGGGGAACAGAGCTAAACAGAGAACTTTCTGTAGAGGAATATCGAATGGCAGAGAAACACTTAAAGAAATGCTCAACGTTATTAGTCATTCGGGAAATGCAAATCAAAACCACCCTGAGATTTCACCTTACACCCATCAGAATGGCCAAGATGAAAAACTCAAGTGACAGCACATGCTGGAGAGGCTGTGGAGAAAGGGGAACCCTCCTCCACTGCTGGTGGGAATGTAAACTCCACTGCTGTTAAAATGTAAACTTGCACATCCACTCTGGAAATCAATCTGGTGCTTTCTCAGACAACTAGGAATAGTACTTCCTCAATATCTGGCCATACCAATCCTAGGCATTTATCCAAAAGGAGCTCAAGTACACAATAAAGACATTTGCTCGACCATGTTTGTAGCAGCTTTATTTGTAATAGCCAGAAGTTGGAAACAGCCCAGATGCCCCTCAACTGAAGAATGGATGCAGAAATTGTGGTACATCTACACAATGGAGTATTACTCTGCATTGAAAAATAAGGAAATCATGAAATTTGCAGGTAAATGGTGGGACCTGGAAAGTATCATCCTGAGTGAGCTGTCCCAGAAGCAGAAAGACACACACAGTGTATACTCACTCATACACACATATAACATAGGATAAACCTACCTAAAACCCTGAACATCTAAAGAAACTAATCAAGAGAGCGGACCCTGACTAAAACGCTCAATCCCCATCCCAAAAGGCAAAGAGGATGGACATCAGAAGAAGAAGAAAACAGGAAACAACCTAGGAACCTGCCACAGAGGGCCTCTGAAAGGCTCTGTTCTACAGACTACCAAAGCAGACACTGAGACTTAAGGCCAACTGATGGGCAAAGTGCATGGAATCTTAAGTAAGAAGTGGGAAATAGTAAGATCTGGAGAGGACAGGAACCCCACAAGGGTTCCTGTCAACAGTACCAGAAAATTTGAACACAGGGGTCTCCCCAGGGACTCATATTCCAACCAAGAACATGCATGGAGATAACCTAGAACCCCTGCACAGATGTAGTCCATGATAGCATAGTATCCAAGTGGGTTCCATAGTAATGGGAAGAGGGACTACCTCTGACATAATCTGATAGGCCTGTTGTTTGATCACCTCCCCATAAGGGGAGAGCAGCCCTACCAGGCCACAGAAGATGACTATGATGACTATGCGGCCATTCCTGATGGGATCTGATAGACTAAGCTCAGAAGGAAGGAGAGGAGGTCCTCCCCTATCAGTGGACTTGGGAGGGGCAAGGAAGAAGACGGGGGAGGGAGGGTGGGGCTGGGAGGGGAGGAGGGAGGGACTTACGGGGGGATACAAAGTGAATAAAATGTAATTAACAAAAATATAAACAAATAAATAAATAAATAAATAAATAAATAAATAACATAGTGTACAGAACCAAACAATTCTCAATAGAAGAATATCAAATGTCAGGAAAACACCCAATGAAATTTTCAACATCCTAAGTGATCAGGGAAATGAAAATTAAAATGACCCCGAGATTTCACCTTACACCCAACAGAATGGCTAAGATCAAAAACTCAAGTGACAACACATGCTGGAGAGAATGTGGAGAAAGGGGAACCCTCCTCTATTGCTGGTGGGAATGTAAACTTGTACATCCACTTTGGAAATCAGTCTGGCACTATCTCAGTTAGGAATAGTGCTACTTCAAGATCAAACTACACCACTTCTAGGATATATCCAAAGTATGCTCAAGTATACAGCAAGGACATTTGCTCAATCATGTTCATAGCAGCTTTATTTGTAATAGCCAAAATCTGGACACAACTCAGATGTCCCTCGACTGAGGAATGGATACAGAAATTGTGATATTTACACAATGGAATACTACTCAGTAATTAAAAACAAGAAATCACGAAATTTGCAGGCAAATAGTGGGATCTAGAAACGATCATCCTGAGTGAGGTATCTCAGAAGCAGAAAGACACACATGGTATATACTCACTAATAGGTAGATATTAGAAATATAATACAGGATAAACATACTAAAATCTGTATACCTAAAGAAGCTAAGCAAGGAGGAGGACCCTGGGTAAGATGATCAATTCTCATTCGAAAGGCAAACTGGATGGATAGTGGAAGAGGGAGAAAACAGGGAACAGGACAGGAGCCTACCACAGAGGGCCTCTGAAAGACTCTGCCCAACAGGGTATTAAAGCAGATGCTGAGACAGCCAAACTTTGGGTAGAGTGCAGGGAATCTTATGAAAGAAGGGGGAGATGAAAGACCTGGAAGATACAGGAGCTCCATAAGAAGAGCAACAGAACCAAAAAATCTGGGCTCAGGTGTCTTTTCTGAGACTGATACTCCAACCGAGGATCATTCATGTAGATAATCTATAACTGCTGCACAGATGTAGCCCATAGCAGCTTAGTCTCCAAGTGGGTACCCTAGTAAGGGGAACGGGGACTGTCTCTGACATGAACTCAGTGGCTGGCTCTTTGATCACCTCCCCCTGAGGTGAGGAACAGCCTTATAGGGCCACAGAGGAAGACAATGCAGCCCGTCCTGAAGAGTCCTGATAGGCTAGGGTCAGATGGACGGGAAGGAGATCCTCCCCAATCAGTGGACTAGGGCTGGGGACAAGGGAGGAAAAGAGGGAGGGAAAGTGGGTGTGGGAACGGACAAGGTTGGGGGCTACAGCTGGGATACAAATTGAATAAACTGTAATTAATGAAAAGAAATTAATTTAAAAAAAAGTGTAGAATGCTGCTAAACATCCCTTGAAAGCAAAGGTTTGGAACATACCTGTGAGGGAGTCACTCAAATAAATCTTGTATCTGAGAGAGTTGCATAGTTGCACTCCGACAAATTTTTTATACCATGTCCTTTTAACATATTGTTTGCCTTTACATTCTGAGTAAGTGTCTGAATTAAAGGGTCTTTCGGTCCAGATGGCATCTCTTCCTGCTGTATAAAGAAAACACATGATTTGGGTTCAATATTTAACTCTGAAGAACAAGCATCATGCAGAATTCATTGCCAGCTTGCTGATACTTCATTTCTTTAATACTGTAAATAATGGATGCTGAAAATACTTGAAAGGGTTTAACAAACCTCAGTATGAGTTTTTGTCAGTAGTAAACTAAATCTCAGAGCAGAGTCTTTGGTATTGGTCTAGTCTCTGCAGTGCTAGTTGTGTAGACACATTCAGTGCTTTTTTTTTTTTTTTTTTGGCAACATAGTATAAAATCTAATGTGACTAAATTAACAAAAATTTTGAATGAAATAGTACATGAGTGAAAGCAAATTTCAACAACTCCCCAATGGATTCTAAATGCTAATGTGTTTAAGAATGACACCTCTTCTATCTCTCTAGATATATCTGCTGTGCTTATCTGATGTAGAAATGTATATGTCCCCATTGAGATTGGTACTTACCAGAAATTGGCTCACTCACTCTTGGGTCAGCTGAGGAGAAATACACAAAAGAACTGTTTAGGTGATGAAGTTCTATATTATTATAGTAATATGTAAAGAAGATGGCAGCTTATTCTTAGGTCTTGTTGATGGAATGATATCATCTTGCTAAAGACTGACTCTGAAAGTTTGTTTTGCTTTGGAAATGGTGTTGATCACCCTTCAGATACCCAGCTGCATCTTTTCACATGGTTTGGGCAGATTTGAGAATAGCTTGTTGTTGCATTTAATTTCAAAAGTTTTCTCACTTAGTTTTCTGTAAAGCTTACTTGTAAAGTTATCAAGACATGATGTGCTTTAGTTTAAAATTAATGCATTTTTCTGTGCATACAGATGCATTTTATTTTATTGAGAAATTGAAGCTTAGAATATGTAGATACAGCTTCACAAAACTCACAAATTTCCAGTTCTCATCTACTTCATGGACATTATTCTGGGCATTAAAGGAAGTATTCATGTCCTACCTTTGGGTATAGATTACAATTTTTCATTATTTCTTTCCTGGCATAAACCTAATTGAAGAAAAGCAGTGGTACTGTAAATACCATCATCTATTAACTTTTTCTCATGGACTTTTCTGACTTCAGGATACTGGGCTTCAAATAAGCTCCTATGTAACGCATTTCTCATTTATGCCCCTCACACCTTCTTGGGGATTACTGCTGATGCCATTACCTGATTCAGTACTGAATGCCACTGTGTTACTGGCAGGGCCCTCACCAAGTGGATTTTTGGGTTTCACCTGGAATTCATAGCTGCACAAGGAGACATAAAAATAATAGTAATGTATTATTGAGGGATATAAGGAACAACATTCTCTTGCTCTCCTAACTCCTGTTTCATTTTGAACTCATAATTTCAGGTTTTACTTTCTAAACATCTTCATATGTCATGAGAAAAACAGCAAAAAGTTGGCTGCCTTAAAACACATTAGTAGAAGTAAACAGGCAGGTTTACAGTGGATATATAGGAAGAATTTGTGCTGACACACCTTAATTCCAGCATGAGGAACCGCCCTTTGCATGTTCAGATGTCAAGTGGAGAGGTCTTTCTCCCTGACATCCTCACCATGATCAAGTATAACTGTGAACTTGGGACAGTGTTCTTGATTGTGGTATCTGAATCATAGCAGACGGTGGCAATGGGGAGCATTTTTCTAAGTACAAATTACTGTCCTACCTCTGCTACTGAAAGTGAAAACTTAGTAGCAATTTGAGTTACCAGGACAACTTCTGTGACTGCTGGTTTTGATTGCAAGAGTGGATACATATGAGAATGTTTCTTTGCAAGGCTGAATGTATCTCCTAGAACTCATGTCTGTTACTGATCACAGGAAACCATTGTGTCTAGAAAATGGGCCCACTAGCATCCTATGAGCATGAGCCACAAAGCTGACATTGCTCTCCCCCAACTCAGTAAGCCAGGTTGATACTTTTTAAAACGTGTAATTGCTTTGGTCCCATCCTTAAGCTTATCAGTCATTAAATTGTGCTGTAATTGAGAGATCTTATTCACAAATGCATAAGCTGCAAATCCTCTTGAGAAACCCACAGCAGGAAAGCTGACTTTGCCTGAAACTGACTTCCTTCAGCAGAGGATTTTGAAAGATAAATCTCAGTCTTTGAGAAGTTTACAACACAGTAAAAATGCAGACCACATAAGGTAAGTATTTTATAAGCAAGTGAGAAAGAAAAGGATGACAATTCTCAGTTTGGTACTGATGGTGTGAAAAAGAAAAAAGGGGAAGAGGATACTTAGGAGTTGCTCAATTACTTACAGATAACTGCTGGAGTCTAGTAGGACAGAGTCCAGTGTTCAGATGATAGGAACCACTTTTTAAAGTCCCTAGTATGTGCCATACACAACCATTCTACATCTGTAAACTAATGCAACACACAAACCTATGGTGTATTCTTCAAGTTTCATTCAGAACAGTGAAGCTCATAACTATTGTAATACTTTCTTCACTTTTCCAAACTTGAAGTATTTGTGAAATAGAAATTAAAATTTACCTTTTAATTCTTAACTGCAAGTGAAAACATTTTGAAAGCTAAATAACTGGTGTAAGGTGCTGTGGCATTTGCCATTTATTTTTTAAAGGGGTGGGGGCTGGGGAGATGATGACTCATTGGGTAAAACAAGTGCCAGCCAAGTGTGAGAATCAGAGTTCAAATCTCTGGAACTCATATCAAGCAGGGTTAGGGGTGCAGGGCAGCACATGCAACTGTAATCCCAAATTCAGTGTTCCTATAGCATGATGGGAGGTGAAGACAAAAATCTCCAGAAACTCACAGGCCAGCTTGAATGGCCACATATCATAAAATATTGGAAAAAAATCTTCAGAAAGTAGGAAAACAGCAAAAGAGGCCTCTTAAAGTATAAAGCAAGGCCAAGACTTAAGGTTGGCTTTTCCTCTCAACAGTGCTCCACGGTACACATGCAGCACCTGCACTTGCATACAAACGATTACTCCAACCATATTTTAAAAATGTTGGTCTGAAAATACACATGCCATTTACTTACGTCACATACAAGGGTGGTTTTCAAGGTTACAGTACTCCTAAGGCTTGTGGCCTCAAACAGTCCCAATAAAAACGTAAAACCTCACATGGGAATATGGGAAGCAGTAGGGGCAGGAATTCCTAGTCATCTGCAGTTTTAATCGAGTGGATACACATGTCATGTCCATTCTAGACCATTGCTAGCCAACCCATGCCTTGTAGGGGTGTGACTGCTGGGCTCTCTGTATCATCTCATTTTAGCTACATATTTGATCTTCTAGCATGTGCACAAGTTTACATAACTTTGAAGATTTTTTCCAATATTTTATGATACAAGTTTGGAAGAAATTACTTTTTTTAGTTTTTATTTTTTTAATATTAGTTACAGTTTGTTAACTTTGTATCCCTGCTGTATTACACTCACTCTTTCCTGCCCAATCCCACCCTCCCACCCTCATCTTCTCCCTGCCCCTTTCCAAGTCCACTGATGGGGGAGAACCTCCTCCCCTTCCATCTAACCCTGGTTTATCAGGTGTCTTCAGGACTGGTTGCAAAGTCCTCCTCTGTGGCCTAGCAGGGCTGCTCCTCCCTGGGGGGTGGGGGGGAGGTCAAAGAGCCTGCTATTGAATTCATGTCAGAAACAGTCCCTGTTCCCCTTATTAGAGTACCCACTTGGATACTGAGCTACCAAGAGCTACATCTGAGCAGAGGCTCTAGGTTGCATCCATACATGGTCCTTGTTTGGAGAAACAGTCTCATAAGAGACCCCTGTGCCCAGATATATTTGGTCCTTGTGGAACTCCTGTTCTATCCAAGTCATATTAACTACCCCCCCTTTTTTTTATTCCCTGCACTCTGCCAAAGGTTTGGTTATTAGTCTTAATATCTGCTTTGATACACTGCTAGGTAGAGTCTTTCAGAGTCCCTCTGTAGTAGGCTCCTGTCCTGTTACTTGTTTGCTCCTACATCTAATGTCCATCCCCTTTGTCGGAAGAAATTATTTTAAACGTTAACGTAGGACAGTTTTTGGCTGATTAAGCCTTAAATAACAAAAAATATTTGTGATGGTAATATTTTTTCCAAAAAGCACATTTTGTCACATGATTGACACCGCACGCCTCTAAGAGTAACATCTCAAAAAATTATGGTTGGGTGCTACCTAACAAAGTTATTTGTATAAACACATAGAGAAACTAAATAGATGTTAAGAAGATAAAGTTGACAACGTACAGATACTAGAACTAAAAGTCAAAAGTTACCAACAAGAAAATTGGATTACTGTTGAGCACCCACCTAGCAGAAATATAAAATAGGGGCATGAGTCCCAGAAACTGTGAGAAATTTCCCAGAACTTAAAGATGTAAGTTTTCAGGTTAAAAAGACCTGCTCTGTGACCAACAACTTGAGAAAAGAAATGGAAGAATTAAAGCTTACAAATTGCAGATTTTCCAAGGTATAATGACAAAAGCCCCAAAACCAAGAGGAAAATAGTGGGCCCTATTTGTAGGACCCAAAATTAGAATGGTATTTTAACTGCATAGCAGGACTGGAAGTTAAAAGGAAAGAGTCAAAAGACTTTTAGAAGGTCTTTATTTTGTCATAATTTCAGCTTAAAATACATATTAAGCTAAACAATAGAATCAAGGGAAAATAAACTTAGAGAAAGATAAGTGAAGACTCTTACAAGTACTGTTTTTCATAATGATTTTTCAAAATTTCACTCCTAAGGAAGCTACAAAGTGAGGGGCAATAGCAAGACTTTATTTTGATTCAATGAAGGGTTAAAAAATGGAATTATCCTAAAGGAAAGGAGTATTGTAGGGTAAAATTTGAGGACCAATAGTCTTGAGAGCAACTATAAAACTTGGCATCTAAATTAAAAATTTATCAATTACTGGAATAAAGTGAAAAGATGGTTCCAGAGAATATAGGCTGTAGTTGTTGAGCTAATCTGTCAAAAGCAGAATGCCCATATCTAGGAGATACCCTCTACAGTATGGGTGTGGAGTAAAGCTTAGGGCCCTGGCGAAATAGACCCCTCCATCACTCCCTCACCCCTGCTCAAAACCCTCTGTTGTGGCACAAACTTAGAACCAAGTTACAGCTTTTACTGTTCAATGTACTTTTTAGTTACACAACTCCCTACTGGTTAATAAAGTTAGGTTAACAAAATTCTCAAACCTCAAGTAAACTGCTTCTTATAAAACTACATTTTATACAGAAACCCTCAGTGGCCGTCTGTTGGTGTGAGCTGTATGATCATTAGCTCATTTTACCCGTGCTGCAGTCTTGAAATGCTGTTTCAGGTAAGGTTTTCTGTCAGAGGAAGAAAATCAGGAAAAGTGGACTAAGAAAGAAAAAGGGCCACTCGAAGGGCAATGAGGAGGGAGATTTTGCGAACTCGTCTCAGGCTGCAGCATTTCAGGACGCTTAGCAACATGTAGTGTCATTCATTGTGCAATATTGGGACTATAGGTAAAGAGCTAAAGGGCATAGTAGAGTAGGTCCCCAACACACACATATCTCAATTTTTAGGAACAAAACCTTCATGGTGGTGCATACATGTAACCTCAGCCACTTAAAGCTGAGGCAGAATCACAAATTTGAGGCCAGCCTGGGCAACATACCAGCCTGTTTCAAAAGAAATGGAAGGAAAGAGAAAGTAAAGGGATGGGGAAGAGGAAGAGGGAGGAAGGAATAGAAGTAACAAGGGAAAACAGGGAACTTAGAAGTCATGGAGGATCATAACCTAGCTCATTGTGCCCCAAGAGAAGTTTCTTGTGTCTTCCATTTTTTTTTTTGGAAGGGAGGGGTCAGAAACTAGATATTTCAGAGTTGGGCCTCACTTCTAACTGGTGCGGCTTTGTAGACTGGTGTCTACCTTTGTAGACACAAGGAATTCAAAGAAACTATAACAGAGCACAGTGATGAGTGGAGAGCTGTCCTTTTGCCTGATAAAAAGTTTGTAGCTGAGCTACCACCTCAGTTTTGGAAGAAAGGAATTACTTGTCTACACCTACACCAAAACTAAATAAAATGCCAATGCTTTGGCACCTTATTTTACTGTAGCAAAGTAAATACAGAATTTGCAGAGACCCGAATTTCACATAAACACTAATCTGGCATGATGGCTATTTCACATACCTGTTTCTTTGAGCCAGATTCAGTTTATAAGAAGTTGCTGTCTTATAAAGTTGCAGCTAACTTACCATCAGCACCAATGTTTTATCAACTCAATGTAAACGGAAGTCCCAAACAATCATGCTGGTACTTCAGTATGTTTTAGTCTTAGAACTGTTCCCTAGAATCATCCTTAGTCCACAGATGTCAATAAAAGTATTTGAACAGATGAAGTGAATTTGATTCATCTTAATTGCCAGAGTCCCATTTTCCATAGGAAATTGTTGGATTGCATATAATTCTGGTACACACACAACAGATTCTTCAGTTTTTCAGTAGAGTAGGGAGAGAAGTGGGCTTTTTTGAAAAGACCTGAGCAATTAAAGAGCCTTTTCAGCCAGGGTAATCATGTGTGCCTGCCTACACTGCCAACCAGTTCATCAGGAAGAGCCCCTCCCATTAATATGTTACCAATATTACCAGTTCATCTGAAGGCAGAGTCAGAGACAAGCTGCTCACTGGGACCATTCACATTGGGCTGATCTGGGCTCTAAGTTTACTCTCTACCTCCTACTTGTGGATAAAGATGTCAGCTCTCATCTACCGCTCCAGCACCATGCTTGCTTGCCTTCTATAGACCATGCCCCTTGCCATGATGTCCTCTGAAACTGTGAGCCCCTACAACCCCCAGTAAGCTCATTCTCTAAATTGCCTTGGTCATGATATCTCTTCACAGCAATAACAAAGTAACTAGATGCTGAGTCAACTGATATCAACATTTCCACAATTCTTTTTGTTTTAGAGGTAGTAAGTTAGATGGGCTCTTGTCAATGGAAAAGATAGCATTTGTCTTCTTATCTCTAGATGACCTCTGTCTCACTTATTTCAAGTGATGGTTCCCTGTCCCTGTGCATATTTGAGAGCACAGCTCCTTGCAGCAGCAGGCTGTTTCCATGAGGCACCAGCCCAGAGACAGGAATATGTGACACCAGGTATGGAGTAAAGCCTACTCATCTTTCTCTACTCCACCAATAGGATACACACACACACACACACACACACACACACACACAGAGTAGGTGCTAAATATTCCCAGCATTCAAATTTTACATTTTAAAAATCAGGTACAATATTAGAAAAAATACTAAAATACAGTATTTACACTTGCCTCCTTTTAGTGTAATGTAGCTATAGTGAATCATTGCAAAGCTACTTTCTTTCAGTTATTCTAGTAAGGAACCCTGGGGGCAATCTAAATTATAATCCAGTTTTCTTCTATCCACTGGCAAGTACTGTGCTATATTCTCTGTGACACTTATTTCCCCACGACCATCACCATGTGGTGCTTTTCTCGTTAGCCTTCAAGCCCTAGCCCAACTCTCACCTCATCACTTTCCCAGGCTTTTTGGAGTGTTATTCCCCTGGCCCCCACCAGCACTTCCACAGGCTACTTCCAGATCTCTGGCCAAGCTGTGTGGAATACTTACTGATTGACCTTCCCACTAGTCTTGAGCTCACATGCAGATCTCAGATTGGTTCCCATTTGTAGCCCCAGCAAACAAATTGTGTTTCAAATGTGCCTGGAAAAAGCTGCTCTACATTTAGATCACGAGCTAATGGGTGCACTGTGAGAGGCTGTGAGGACAGCTTCCCTCAGAAAAGGCACGTGCTGTACATTTACAAAGCAAATGCCTTTCCATGAGTACAGTGTACAACATCACTCACATTATTAAATGGGAAAAAAGCAAGCAAGTCAAGAGAATATTTTGCAAGCATAAATCTACCTATTAAAAATGTCCAATGAAATGATTTTTTTTAAAATTTCCTTAAAATCTTTTATGGTTTTCTTTCTCTCAGTCTTGCTAAGGAAACAGAATCAAGATCACTGGGCTTTAGCTGAAAAATATGCTTGTTTTGGCTAATTTAAACCTTTCATGAAAATGAAAAGTGGAAAAATGTTCCATGTTACAGCTCAAAACAGAGCACATTAAAAATCATATTTGTGAAAGAAATATTTTTTCTGCAGTAAAGGATTAAAGTTTATACATGGTTAACTTCAATCAAATAGTTAATTCTTGTCCTCTAAAAGACTGCAAGAATGTCCCTACTGCCAGAATCAAAACAGGCTCAGTCTCATGTCAATATCAATACAGCGTCAGATGATGGAGAGAGGTGTCAGAAAGGAGACTTAGGGGGAAAGACAATCTAAAAACTTCTCTACAACTAATTAGACATGTTCCAGAGCCTTTTTCTTTCAGTAATAAAATGAATTGATAAGGTGTTTCAGACTAAAAAGAATATATGAAATTCGACTGACACATGAATAACCTCATGTTAATGTATAAACCATAAAATACGCAACCGACTGCCAAATTCTATTTTTTTCAGTGTAAAAAAAAGTCCCCATAGCAAAGGGCTGCTGTACCTATGTGGTGGTTTAAATGAGAATGGCCCAATAGGCTCACATATTTGAATATTTGGACCCTAGGTAGTGGACTGGCTTGGAAGGATTAGGGGGTGTGGCCTTGTGGGAAAGGTGTGGCCTTTTGGGAGGAGATATGCCCCATTGGATGTGGGCTTTGAGGTTTCAAAAACTTACACCAGACCCAGTCTTGTGCTTTCTCTGCCTTTGTCTTGCTGATAAGATAAAAGATATCACTGGACCTTACCTTGTATCCGGTTTTAGATTTTCTACTGTAGAAAAGGTTTGATTGGTAATTTGAATGGACTTGTTCTTCCCACTGAATGACCCATTTTCTCTGGATATGACTTCATATTCTGAATATGGAAGAAAACAGTAGACACTTGTTATTTCTCGGTTGATTTGTTCCTGAGGCTAATAGTATGATGCTAAAGGCATTCTCATAAAGATGACAGATTGACTGCAGTTCTAGGAACACAATCTAGAAAAAACATTTCTTTTAAATATTGTGTATATGTCTGCATGTGGGAGGGGTACATGTACATGTGTGTGCAGGTCCCTGTGGAATCCAGGAGACGGTTGTTGATCTCTTAAAGCTATAGTTACAGCTGACTATGAGATGTCCAGCACGGGTTCTAGAAATCAAAGTCACATGCTCTGAAATAGCAGGAAGTGCTCTTAACATTTTGCAGCCCTGAGACATCATGATCTCACCTTTCAGCAATTTTCAGTTACCAGATGGCAGAGGTTCTCAAAGTGTTTGGGGAATGGTATATCAAGTATTCTTTCTGGTTTGTCAGTGTTGAAGAAGGCCTAATAACTGATGAAGACTGATGACCATTGCTTTGGATAGTTTATGGTTTTGCAACTGGTGGATGGTTTTGTAGAAGGGCCAGTTTAGGGAAAATATGTATGAGGGATAGTGTTTAAATGGAAGCCATGTCTCTTGCTATCTTATTTAGAGAGAAGGTTAATGGAGTATGGTGTCCAGCTACAACAAATCTGAGCTTAAAACCGTGTCAGTAGCAAAAGTTAACCAAGTGATAAAAACCCTTTCTTGTTTGGAGCTGAAGAACTGGATTTTGAATGTAACGCATATTTATGTTGCCTGGATAGTTTTCTTCATATTAAATACAAATTACAATGTCTGAATAAATTTCCCTGAAAGACAGGTTTCTATGAATCTGAAGGGCTCACTCATCAGCAGGGAGAGACCTGCAGAATAAGAGAATCTGACAGACGTTTTTCCTTACTTCTTTCTTGGGAATTAGAAGAACTGCACTCTGTATTATCTGAAATCAGGTGGTATTTTATGTAACACTAAAATTAAAAATGAACTCTATGGAACAGATCATTAGGAAAAAAAGCTCTGCTGTTTAGATGTAGACTAAGAGAACAATATAAATGTAGAATTGTGACTGAAGAGTTAAAATTGATCCTTTGCCATGAAAATTTTAATTGTGAAAGACTCTAAGTAGCTCATTAACATCTAGTAAAAAAATAATATGAAGAGAGTTGGTTAGGTATATAAAGTATACTCTACTCATGACTCGTTACAATTAAAAGTTTATAGAACTTAAAAATTATTACAGATCAGAAAGAGAAATACAGCTTTAATTTTAAGTCAGATAATCAAATGGAGATGTACTAGATAATTAAGTATATAAGATTAAATAATTCCAACTTGATAGCCCATGTCTTTTAGGCAAAAAAAAAAATGGTTTATCATTTGGTTTCAGGAAATTAGAACTCCTTATTTGCAAAGTATATAGTCAAGAGTTTGGGTTGGTTTAATATATGTAGAGAACCAATACTGAAAATTGATGAACAATTAGAACTTGAGATATCTACTGGCTCAACCCTAGAAAAATCAGCAAGACCAGGCAGATTTCTAGGAATACTGGTGATGATGGGCTCTTTCTCAGAACAGAGATTCTAAACTGATGAGATAGCAATTCAGCAAAGGTAATGTTTACATGGGATGTTGCTCAGATCACACGTTTTTGTAGGAGAGAAGTTTTTTGTTCTCCTTTATCCAGAGTAGAAAATATTTCCTGGAAGATTCTGTTTGTCCTCATCCAAACTCTGGCCCTCATAGTGCTCCTTTCTAGTCTGTGCTTCTATTCTCTGCAATGTGGGCCTGGAAGCAGCAGTCACATGGACTCAGGCTTACTAGGTACCATGTCCTCTAGCAATTACAATTGTTAGTCTGTTATTCTCATTTTTTTGTTTGATTCTCCTTTTCTATGTGTAGAATCAAAGTGTGTTAAACAAATCATAACAGATTCAAAAAATGACTCTTGGTTTCTTATTTCCATGAAGAATTAGGTTGGTGTAGCACAATCAAAATTTTCAGACAAGTAGCAGCCTGGAACTGAGGGAGCTTTTTGTTTGTTTGTTTGTTTGTTTGTTTGTTTTTCAATTTCTCCAAGTTAGTTAAAAACCATTTTTAGCCTGTTTAGATGTTCTTAGCCAGTTTAGAAACTGGGTTGGTAAAAAAAAAAAAAAAAAAAAAAAAAAAAGCTATTTTAAATATTATCAGTCATGTCAAGTCTATTTAAAGTCCTTGGTTAACTAGGAGCCCATAGATCTTTTTTCCATCTATGACACTTTGAACAACAGAACTGTGTCTTCTTAGATGTGATTTTTGTGCTACAGTTTGACCCAGGCTGCCCAGGTACTGTGCTATCAAAGCTTCCCACCATAGTATCATATCCTAGTGCCATAGTCTTACCAGTGACAGTGTCATTTAATGGCTTTTCCCAGTCCAAGATGACAAATGAGGGGCAGCCTTCCACAGTGACCACAGTGAGGTTGGTGGGTGGATTCTGTGGTGGGCTGGTAGCATTCCCCTCTAGGGCTTCCTCTGTAGGGAACCGTCTGACAGAGTCAGTGATAGAACAGGGCCTGTTGTCAGGCTTCGGGATATATCGTACATGAGGACCTAAGAGTGGAAAAGAGAAGATACTCTCACAGCACACTAGAAACTTGTGAAGAAGGAGGGGGAGGTAACCTAGTAAATTTGCATCTATTGGAAGAATTCAGCGTCACATTCTGAGAAGACATTTGAAAATAGTCCTGAGGATGGCTTAGACACAAAATTCTAAACTACTATCTCTGGGGTATGTGGTAAAGATACTGCATTTATAGATGTACCTAGTATTGATTTCTTTGGATACACCAAGCTAGACTCACAAGGACCAAGCAATTCTGAATAATCAACTGTACCCCAGAACAAAATCCAAGAATATTTTAGGGATGAAATATCCAACCTCCAGCAAGATAAAAGTCACAAAAAAAAAAAAAATGTTGTTCCTGGTGAGAAAAAAAAAAAAATCATTCCTTTGAAACCAACTTCAAACTTGCACAAAGGCTAGAATCATTATATATGGAAGACATGGCAGATATAAAAATGACCCAATTCAGATTTCTAGAGATGAAACTGTATGTGGTAGAACTAATACAAAAGATACCACAAAACAGAAGACAAAGAACTTACTCTGTTATATAGCATAACACACACACACACACACACACACACACACACACACACACACACACTGAGAGAGAGAGGAGGAAGAATGAATGGATAATAGAAATTGTGAGCTTTGGGAAACTTTGAAGAGTTTTCATATGAACATAATTCAAGTTCCTGAGGTAGAAGAGGAGGTATATGAGCACAAATATATTTTAAGAAATAATGGCCTTAAATTAGTTTCAAACTTCTAAATCACAAGTTCAAAAAGCTAAAAATAGAAACTTAAGAACAGTAAATATGAAGATAACTATACCAAACATAATTAAATTTCCCCAAATCAATGGAAAATAGACAACTATTTAAAGGGGAGAGACAAAAAATATATAGAATGATAAAAGTGAGGGGTACAGTAAATCTCTCATTGGGAAGACTGCAAATAGAAGTCAAAGGCATGACATCTTCAATGCAGAATTAATCACCAATGAAAAATATTTCTTTAAAAAAAATGGCAGAATACTTTCTTTTAAAACTGGCAAACCCATACTGTAAGTTAGTAATTGAAGGAAACATTTCACTGGCTAGAAGTGTGCCTCCCCATAAAAGGATGAAAGGTGTGTGAGATAATAACAGTGTGTATACATGTAGATCGTATTTTAGTCCACATCTAACAGTTAATTTATTTTTTAAGAAGTGAAGACATTTGTGTGATGATTATTGAGAGTAATAGCGCAAAGCCAGGAGGAAAGAAAGGAGCTACACAAGCATAAGTGTGTTGAATGTGAGGCTCTTCACTGTCACTGGAAGGTAGATGGTATAAGGATCACACTGCCAGTCCCCACAGGACAACTGAAACAAGGAGTTGCAAGGAATAAGACACATAAAGTGGAATTAAACATTAAACGGACAAAAAAGAGAAAAAAAGGAACAAAGAATAGCTAAATTAAAAAAATAGCAAGGTGAAACATTACCCTAAAGGTATCAATAATAATTTGAAAGGTTCCATAAGCTACAAATAAGAGATTGTTAGATTAGCTAAGAAAAACACCTAATATGATGATGTCTAAAAACTGCAGTGTAAATACAGAGAGACTAAATTATGGTTAAAAGGAAAAGGTGAAAAAAGTGAAGTAATTCTGAGAAAGTATGACTGGATATATAAATATAAAAAATGCAGACTATCAAAAGCAGATGCTGAGACTCATGGCCAACATTTGGGTAGAATGCAGGGAATCTTATGAAAGAAGTGGGAAACAGTAAGATCTGGAGAAGACAGGAACTCCACAAGGAGAGCAACAGAACCAAAAATCTGAGCACAGAGGCCTTTCCTGAGACTGATACTCCAACCAAAGACTATGCATGGAGATAACCTAAGACCCCTGCACAGATGTAGCCCATGGAAGTTCAGAGTCCAAGTGGGTTCCATAGTAATAGGAACAGGAACTTTCTCTGACATGAACTGATTGGCCTGCTCTTTAATTACCTCACCCTGAGGGGGGAGCAGCCTTACCAAGCCACAGAAGAAGACAATGCAGCCACTCTTGATGAGACCTAATTGACTAGGATCAGAAGGAAGGAAAAGAAGACCTCCCTTATCAGTGGACTTGGGGAGGGGCATGTGTGCAGAGGGGGAGGAAGGGAGAGATTGGGACAGGAGGAAGGAGGGAACCATTGGGGGAATGCAAAGTGAATAAAGTGTAATTAATAAAGAATAAAAAAAAATGGAAAAAAATTTGGTTTCAGAGCAAAGATGCCCAGGAGAAATAGAAAACATCTTGTGTAATGAATACAAGGATCAGTCAATCAGTAATTTATTACAGTTGTAATAATTTAAGCCTGCACCTCAATGGACTTAAATTTAGAAAGAAGGAGACCAATAAAACTTGGTTAAAACTTGAAAGTGTGAAACCTAATGAGCTTGGAATTCTTGGGAGACAGAAGGGACTCACGGGCACAGGAAGCCATGCGCCAGGCAAGGAGAGAGACCAATCCTTGCCTCCAGAATTGTGAGAAAACGAAATTGTCATTCCACAACCAAGACTGTGGAATTTGGTTAAGGTAGACTGGAATAGTCAAATTCAAACCATAATTATATACCACTTTACTCCCAATAGAATGGAGAGAAACATTTTAACACTGACTATACAAAGTGCTGTTGAGGATGGAGAAGCCAGAGCCTTTATCACTACTGTCAGAAATATCAAACAATACAACGATGGAAAACAGTTTCGAGGTATCTTAAAACTTGTCTCTGCATCCATGAAAAAGAGTTATGCTCTCCTGCCTAACTTTTTTGGTTTGAGCTTGGCTGTGTGACTGTTTTAGCCAATGTATCCTAACAGATGTCACAAAATAAGGATCTCAAAATGTGACTATTTGGATCCCACCTCCCTTTAATTTATATTATGGTAAGAATGGCTTCACCTGGCTCAATTCTACTCGTCTCCACACCAAAATGCAGGCATGTAGGGTGGACCTGAGGCTACCCCATCAGGTAGCCAGGTGCACCTGCTACCCAGCTGTCTTGCACACACATGAGAAATTAATGTTGTAGTAAGCTCCTACAATATTTACACAGCACATACCTGACAGATCTACCTACAGAATAGTCCTAGCAAAAGCCAAAATGCAGAGTCAGGCATACCTACGAATCTGGGCTTCCCAAGGTGGTCAGTTTCTTTGGTTGGGCTTGAACTAAAATCAGTTGTATTACCTGATAATAATAATAAAAAAAATAATGAAAGGCTTGATGAAGGACAGAGAAAAATTCACAACACATTGACAGAAGCAGTAAAGAAAGATAACTAATATTTCTCCTAAATAAATTGCTTGTAGTTTTATTTCCTTTACTATTCTTACAATACATTTTGACCAAAACTAAAAAGGCCATTAATTGTGTTCTACATCAAGTAGTTCTGGACTATAATAAAAGTTGTAGATTAAAAATTGTAACTAATATGCTAATGCTCATTAATAAATTGAACTATCTGTAGTTTGTAGTAACCGTAATTTAGTAGTCTAAATTGTTTTAATTAGTAATTGGTCTACATTTTTTTGGTCTACATTTTTATTAAAAGAAAAAAAGACTTGGCATTTCTATGTCTGCCAAGAAAAGGAGCATATCCTTTAACAAAAAGCTGACAGATATTATTCTTAAATGAGAAGGCAAATATTTCTAAATTTGATGAAAATAGAAGACCTCAAACCAAGAATTTGTTCACCCTAATTTGAAATATGTTAACATCTTGGAGCAATGCATCTAGTGAGTACTAACAACTAACCAAATTCTTCCTCAGAAGCAGGAGCAGTTGGTTGCTTTTTTTCTGCCTCTGGTCTCTCTGTGGCTGTTCCAATAGGCTTGAGTGTTGCCTTCAGGGGTGGGGAAGTTATTCGCCCTGAGGAAATGATTCCTGTAATGCAGAACCAAAGCAATAAGGCTTTATAGAAACAGAGCCAAGTTTCCAATTTATTTATTCAATAAACATTTGTTAAGCACTTACCATGTGGCTTGGCACTATCAGCCAGGCTTGGAGAGCAATCAAGACCTGGTTCTCGATAGAGATAGATGCCTGAGCCAAGGATACTGAAACATCACAGATATTTTGAAAGAACTGCATAAGGTCACAGAGGGGACAAAGGGAGGGAGTGGCTATGTCTATGGGGAAAGTGGGTATCATGGGGAAGAGCGTCTTCACAGAAGTGCCATTAAAGAAACTATCCAGTAGGAAGAGAAAAGACCTTCAGTCTATGAATCATACCAGGAAAACATGGTTGAGGGAAGAGAAGGCCCAATCCTAGGTAAGCATGGAGGGGTCAAGGAAAGTAAGATCATGGAAGAACTTGAATATCATTGCTATGGATGCTATTTTAAGGTTAAAGGGCCATGAAAAGATTTCCAATGGAGAAGTAACATAAACAAATGAGATATTTCACTAGCCATGTTGAGTTAACTTAGCCATTTGGTCATCTGTGAAAAAAGTCAAGGAAATGGAATGGTCTTGCTTAGAGATAAACTTTGAGACATGGAGGACAGCCAGAAAAAGAGGACAAAGAGCTGCAGAGCAATGTCTAGGGGCCAGAACAGTGTTTCTCTGAGTTGCTATACTCAACCGTGTTATGCTAAAGTTTCTTATCAGTCTCCAAAACTTGATTCATCCAAAGTTCCAAGCAAGACTGAGTGTTTAGTAGACTAAGAAGGGTACAGAGTGGGTTTTATATTCCTTCTGGGAAAAAAGTCCTGCTTAGGCTACCAGTCAAGGGCTACTAGCTGGACTGACTTTGAATTAGCTTGTAGTCATGGGTGAGTCAGGTAGATGGATCCCTGCTTTTCCCCCTATAGACTCAGGCCCTTGGTCCTAGAGGGAGTAGCAAGCAAATGGCAAACAAACTGAGGAGAAACTGCTTTTCAGTCAGAAACTGTGCTTGGCAGAGTCAGCAGGAAATGGGGGCAACATTTTCACCTGGTGAGAAAAGTGGGACACGGAGGCCTCAGTACATTTGGAGATAGGCGAGGAATGGCAGATGCCAATGTGGGAACCAAGACTGTTTGCAAGCACTTGTGAGAGACATCAGAGTAGTCCTGGACAGCCAGTGGATTTCTGAATCACCAGAACTGTATCATGGCAATTGCTAGTTGCTAGGCTCTAAAGTGAAGCCATTTTCTCTCAGTTAGAGGTGGATAGTAGGGCATGGAGAACAGTGACCTGAGGTAATCCCAGAAATGGGATGTGCCTCTGGCCTCTCCTCAGGGTCAGGGGTAGAGGGGTTGTACTAAACTATATTCTCTGAGAGGAGAATAGGATATCCTAAGCCAAAACACAAGACCAGTGAATTGTGGCTGAAGACACACAGCCTCACTCGGGGAGTGCTGCAGGGGTGGCCTCCTGCGTTGTCAGGGCACACTAAGGCATCAAACTGACTCAGCACTGAGACCCGAAGGCAAGTGCCACTCATGCCACAGCTGCTTCATATTACAGTTAATGAGAACAACCTGGTCTTCTCATGAGGCCTTCACTGGGCCTTGGCCCAGAAAGGCACAAGAAGCACAAGCTAGAGGCTGAATCCTCCCCTAGACATTGGGGGAAACAATCTAGAGCAGCGGTTCTCCACCTTTCTAATGCTGAGACCCTTTATATACAGTTCTTCATGTTCAGGTGACCTCCAACCATAGAATTATTTTCACTGCTGCTTTGTAACTGTACTTTTGTTACTGTTCTGAACTGTAATGTAAATATTTGTATTTTGTTTTCCAATGGTCTTTCCAGGGGCCCATGACCCCTGTGGAGGGGTCAGTCAATCCCCAGGTTGAGAACCACTGACCTAGAATCATGAAACACCTTAAAAGCCATTATCATCATCTTGTAAAAAAGAATGGCACCTACTCCTTTCCCATAAATCCTCTACACTGTCCTCTTTCACAGCTGTCTTTAATACTTGTATCCAGTTTCCAACTACCACACATTTAGGAAGTTGAGATTTGGAAAGGGAGGAATGACAAGGAACACATAGTTTGCTAGCAGTGTCCCTAAATGGAAGTGAGCTAAAGCTGTTTTGAACTGGATCAATTTTCACTGGTTCTTAATTTCATTCATGTATTCTAATTCAGTTATTACTGTCAAATTCCCTCTATACTCTCAGCACTCAGCTGGCCCTGGAATTTCAAGCACTGTCATCACAGAACTCACAATCTATAAGAGGAAGTTAAGAATACAAATAGCACAAAACCATTTGCTGTAGCAGGGATGTATACCGAGGACCACAAAGAACAAAGTGGCAATCCAAGACTTCTTAGTGGCGCTAGAAGAGGGATAAAATATGTGCATATCTAGGTCTGGCTGAGACCATTCTATGACTGCATGAACCTAGATATGGAAGTAAGAAACAACTTGACTGCTCACATTCCTCCCTCACCCCCAAGCACCATGAACCTAGCAATGGCATGAAGATGAAGTCAGTGTCAAGACATTGTATTTTCCACTCTCTCTAAGTGGCTGTCAATATACAGCAGCTCCTACTTGTAGTCTGAGATCATCCACTGTTGAGAGCTACATCAGGTTTGCTCTAGGCTCCAAGCATTCAAATATCTCAGAAGCAAACTGGCCTAGGTATGGAGGCATGGTTTCTTTTACACTACCCACTCAGAGTTGGTAATTCAACCCTTCAAAACTGTACTTAAGAGCATCCAGTTTCTGTGGCCAGCACAGGCATGTGTCTGTCACACATGCAGTGGCTTGTTGGGTTAGTGAGTAAAATGCAGTCATGGAGAGAGAAAAGAGGTAAATGAACATACCTGCACTTCCTGGCTTTCCAGTGACATTATTCGGTGGTAAGGGTTTTCTCTGTGGAGGCGTAGGTCTAGGGGGCTTAGGTCTAGGTGGCATGGGTGGGCGACGAGTCCCTGAGATTGTGGCTAAGAGATATTATAAAGTCAGGATTTACTACAAACAGATCAGTTTGAAATAATTAAGCTTTCATAATCAGCAGAGTAGCAGTTAGGTTCTAAGAGATTTCATATCTTATAGAGAAGTGTCTATATACATAAGTGCCTATATATAAAAGTAATAGATTCCTCTAAAATTATGCTGGTCATGGACAATGAATCACATTAGCATATGTAAATAATCTCCTGTAATCTTAGATAAAATATGCAGGCATAGATGCTTTTGGAGGTCATATATGGAGAACTTAACATCTTTCCCCTAGAGACACAACAGAAACACTGCTGAACTTTATTGTTCCTAATCATCTTTTGTTGTGAGCCTGCAATGCCTTTTATCATTTCAAGTTGGAATTTTTGAGCATATATAGTATTTCACACTATATAACAATGTTGGAACTTTTCAAATAATTATATCAAAATAGCTCTCATGGCAGCAATGGGAATCTGGCAACTGGAGCAACTCTAGTGTTGCCCTGTACAAGGATTCCTAGCTAGGGAACATGACTAGGAGCCAATTTTACCGCTCACTTTGCCCTGCCACCCCCAACCTTGGTGGAGAGCTACTAGCCCAAGAAATGGTACAATTTTAAATCTTGTTTGCCCTAATGGGCAAAGGAAAGCAGCTGGCTTTTTCTAGTTTGCATAATGAGGTCTACTTTGCAGGGTGCCTGGAAGAGCTAAAGGAGTCTGGAGCTCAAACTTTAAGCCATTATAGTTTAAAATGTATTTCTTTCTTTGTGTTACTTATGTTGATTTTAAATAATCAAGAAGAATTCTCCACCCAGAAAAATACTTTGTCACTTTAAGTGTTTTCAAGGCTACTAAGAAGACAGACAAAGGAGAAAGAGGTAGGAAAGATGGCAGAGGGAAAGGGGGAGGGCCTGTCCATATGCTTGCTCAGGTGAGGATGGCAATGAGAAGATGGCAAGACTAATGTGCAAGAACCTCTCTCAAAGCGTCCTTTTAAAAAGCAAGAGACTGGACTGTCAGCTGCATGGTCTATTACACACAACTTACTCTTCCAACAGGAACATAAATCAGGCCAAAGCATATCATAATAAATCACACAAGAATCAAGCTTGGGAAAAAAAAAGCCTTTTAAAACCCAGTGGCTTTGTACTACTTGTCCATTATAGCGCCTCAAAAAATTATAAGGAGCAGCCATTAAGTTATTATCCTCCACAGCATTTTGAAAGAATTTAATTTGCACTTTCTTTCTCCAAGCTTGGTCTTTTGGAATGTTTGCCCAACAGCTTGCATCTACTGCGAATGTGGTTCTCATACACAGGGGCCATGCAGACATTGTCCATCACCTACTGCTGCGACTGTGCAAATCTCAGAGCTGAGGCGCCATGGGATCCACCTCTTACTCTTTACCTGTTTTTTTTGTGGCATGTGAGCTCACTGTCATGTTTCTCCCAGTACTTGATGGCTTAGGTGCTTGCTTGGTTCCTAGGAACAGAGACAACAGGGATAATTGTATAAACATTCTTTGTCATGGGTACCTGGTAGGAGTTGTCTGGGAAAGTGTGCATATCTTACATAAGCACTTTTGTGCTCATTTTAATCGTCTTCTACTATCCAGATATAAAACTACTAAAAATCCTGCATTCCTTGGCTCTGTTTTCCCCTGTAGAGCTGGAGTTGGACTGTGGCTTTTGGTACTGTCATAATTTTCCATGGCATTTGTCCTGCACTGGCTGCCTGGGAGGTACTGCTTCACCAGACAGATTTTTACGAAGAGCGAATTGTCACCTTCTGCCAGTCATTATGGGTACATTTTGTGGTTAAAAAGATAATTTTCCTCCAGCTTTCCCAATGCCCATAAATAAACCTCAGAAATTCAGTGTGGTTGGGTTTATACTTATTGAACTGACTTAAAAAATATCCCTGTGCAGGTCTGGCCCATTAGATTGTTGAAGCTACAAGCTAGATCTTTACCTTTGGGGTTTATAAAATAGTAGTGGATTTGCCTAGAACTCCAAGTTATTGTTTGAAGAAAACCAATTCAAAATTGCTTTGTGTGATGTTTTTCTCCCCCAAATGTGGTGATTATCTGGCCATTTGCCTAATTACCTAGGATAGGTTTTGGAAAGCTTCCATAGGAGATGGGCAACCAATATGTCTCATCTTAGCTTTGTGTTACTATTCTTAAAAAAAAATCTTTGCAAGCCAGATGCAGTGGAGCACACCTGTAATCCCAGTATTCGGGGAGGCAGAGGCAGGTGGATCTCTGAGAGTTTGAGGCAGCCTGGTCTACAGAATGAGTCCAGGACAGCCATGGCTGTCTCGAAAAATAATAAATATATAATCTTTGCTTTCTTTATACAATTTTTAAATTAACTGTATCATTTTTCATTTCTTCCCTCCCACTCCTCCCATGTACTTTAGCCCTACCTTGATCTCTCTCAGAGTCATATATACATAAATAAACATTCCTTTATGCATATACACACACATATATGTATATATACAAATATATAACATACCCAGTCTGTTTACTATTATTTGTAGGTATATGACTTCAGGGCTGACTATTTGGTATTAGATAACCAATTACAGGCTAGCTTTTCCCTGGGGAAGACTATTTCTCTTACTTTCAATATTTCTTAGTTGCTTTTAGTTCTTTGTCTAGGGTTGGGGCCCCAGGAGATTTTTCCCCCTTCCACACTGGCATGTCTGTTGGTGTCACCCTTGTTCAAGTCTTGCTTAGGTAGCCATGTTTGTAAGACTTCATGGGTGTAGTTTCCCTGCTGTTTCTGGAAGATGCACTCTCACAGAAGATATTCTGTCCCTCTGGCTCCTATGAACTTTCTGTGATTATATTAAAAAAATAATCTTTCTGGGTATCTGATACGTGTTTTTCTTTTGTTTTTGTTTGCTTGTTTTGAAACAGTCTCACTATGTAACTTTGGCTGGCCTAGAACTCACTGTCTAGACCACACTGGTCTCAGACTCAGAGATTACTCACCTGCCCCTGGGAATGGGGACTAACATCTTGTGCCACCATTCCTGGCTCTGACAATTTTTATTAAGAAACAACAGAAACAGTATTTAGAATCTAAGTAAAAAAATATACTTCAGAAACTGTCTAAAAAGGAATCCACGTGCTGATGGCCTGATGACAAATAAGAAAACATATTTAATATGCTAGTTAGTAAATTAACAGTGACAACCACAGTAACTAAATGCCAACAAAGCTGATTTTACAGTTAGGTCTCAGAGAAGGTAAAAAGATACTATTTAAACACATTTAAAGACATTATTTAAATATGTAGACAGATATACTGATCACAGATAAAGAGCTTTGCTTTTGGTAGTTTGAACTAGAATGTTTCTCATTGGTTTATGTATTTGAACACTTGTTCCCTTATTGGTGATCTTCTTTGAGGTAGGTTATGGAAGTTGTAGAGCTTTGACAGAAGGACATCACTGGGGGAGGGTGATATATATATATATATATATATATATATATATATATATATATATATATCCTTATCTACTTCCTGTTTTCTGTGAATCGTTGAGATGTATCTCTCAGGTTCATGCTGTCTCCATGACATACCCACCTTTATGGACATCTAAACTTCCAGAACTCTAAGTGCAAATAAATACTTTTTTTAACTTGCTTTTGGTCATGATGTTCATCACAGGAACTAAAAGTAACAAACACAGAAGTTGGTATCACAGAGTGGGGCTGCCGCTATAAAGAACCCAGCCCAATTGATTTCTGGAAGAATGTGGAAGACTTTGAAATTTTCTTCTAGAAAAGCTGTTCCTGTGCTTGGGATTCTTGGTATCCTGGGGTCAGGGAGATGGATTATGTGACTAGTTCTTCTGTAAATGACACACAGGAATAGAAAAACACTTCCATTGTGCCACTGAGGTAACTCGGTTTGCTGAGGTTTGGTTTACCACAACACATACACACACACGAATGCCAGTAGGCTGTGTGTTCTTTCAGTAGATCTTATTAGCCCTTCTCCAAATATTTTTGTCCTTCAAAAACAAAGTATTTTATTTCTAATAATGTACAACCACTCTTCATATATATTACTTGATTTGAGCTTTACAAAGCTTCCATGTGAGATATAGCATCCAGGATAAGTATGGAAATTAAAGGCCAAATTAAACACAACTGCCCAAGGTCTTACTGCTAGGAAATGCTGGGACTCAGAATCACATGCTCTCAGCTCCAAAGCCTCTTTCTCAAGCACTAAGTCCTCCTATTAGCTCCTTCTTGTACTCCTCACAACGACTCTAAATGATTATAGTCCTATGTACTCCATCTCCTGAGAGGGCTACAGTGCCACCCTGCATGAGAGTTAATGGCTTTGGCTGGCAAGTATCTGTCCTATGACCATGCCACCATCATGTGGCAATCACACACACACACACACACACACACACACACACACACACACACACACACATATTTGCAGGCTTTCAACAGTTCTATAGGGCAACTGCAGATCCACTGACCCTAGGATAAGTTCAGGTAATTGCCTGAAGGCAGAAGTGAGTTGGAGATAAAGCAGAAGGGGGAGGGAGAAACATGGGTCAGCAGGAGAGAGGGTGAGAAGAGGAGAGGGAAAGCGGAAAGGAGACTACATTAGAGCACAGGGGTTCTCAACCTTTCTAATGTGAGACCCTTTAATACAGTTCATATTTTGATGATTCCAGTCAATAAAATTATTTTGTTGCTACTTCATAACTATAAATTCACTACAGTTACACATTGCAATGTAAATATCTTATACGTAGGATATCTACTTTGTAACCCACTTCCAAAGAGGTTGAGACCACAGGTTGAGAACTACTTAATCAGAGGCCATTAGAAACTTCCCAGTTGGTTTCTACACAGATGGAGACAGGAAGCACACCATTATGGTCTCTAGATATAAATAAGCAAACCAAAAGCACACCTGGCTTTGAAATCATACAGAAGATAGCAGTATCTGAAAGCACTGGAAAGGACCATGCAAACAGCTCTGGAGCTCACTTGGGAGAACTGGAGACAGACAGTGAAGGCTAGGACCCTGATAAACCAGTCAACTTGGGTAATTTAAGGTTAGAGGCTGCACAGAATCAGAATGAGGAGAAAATTAAAAAGGAAACTAGTAGGAGACCTTGTAGAGAACGGAGCTTGTGGATGGTGATCTAGCCCAGACTGTGAGATGAATTCTTTTCTCTCAAACAGGATTAACTGACATACATGCTAAGGGGCAGCTGGCCCTGGAGGCAGTGAGATTGGAACTTCAGTATGGCCCACCGCTGCCATAGGGGAGTTTTCCAGAATTCTATGGATTTACGAAATTCAGCACTTTGCAATTTCTTGTCCAAGATGAAATAATGACTGGATATTTCTAACCATGGTAACAAAAACTTTGCAAACAAACATGTTGGTTTTCAGCTGTATCGGTCGAAATCTATTTTCAATGAACCAGTAACTCTATTTCCTGTGACTAAAAGGTGTGATATTATGGAGGACTGTTCTCTGTGGTTTTGCCTCCAAATCTTAGCACCTAGCTAAAACTTCATGAGAAATGAGCCAGCAACCTGGAAGAGGTAGCTAGATCCTTCACATACCTCACCCTGAAGAGTCTAGTTTCTCATTGTGAGGCTCACTCCACATGGGGCAGTAAAGTGTGGTTCATCACTGAGGTAGAGAGAAAGTGTAGAGAAGGGGAGCAGGAGGGAGATCTAGTAGGAGAGGGGGAGGGGGCTGTAATTGGGGTGGAATGTGAATAAATAAAAAAATGGAAAAGGGATGCAAAGAGTAAAGTCTGAGATCAGCTGTGTCACCAAGTCTGCCACATTACGTGCTCCAAGGCGGCTTCAGAATTCTACTTTGCCTGCATGTAAGGAGCCTTCAAATGGTGATGGCTGAGCAGCTAACCAGCCTAGTTGCTGCCATCTTCCAAGAAAAGTCAGACACGTTTCTTCTCTAAAGAGTCAGCAACACATGCTGGAGAGGTTGTGGAGAAAGGGGAACCCTCCTCCACTGCTGGTGGGAATGTAAACTTGTACAACCACTCTGGAAAGCAATCTGGCGCTTTCTCAGACAACTAGGAATAGCGAGCGCTTCCTCAAGATCCAGCCATACCACTCCTTGTCATATACCCAAAAGATTCTCAAGTACACAATAAGGACATCTGCTCAACCATGTTTGTAGCAGCCTTATTTCTAATAGCCAGAAACTGGAAACAGCCCAGATGCCCCTCAGTGGAGGAATAGATGCACAATTTGTGGTATATCTACACAATGGAATATTACTCAGCAATAAAAAACAAGGAAATCATGAAATTTGCAGGTAAATGGTGGGATCTGGAAAAGATCATCCTGAGTGAGCTATCCCAGAAGCAGAACGATGCACATGGCATATACTCACTCATATAGACATATAATATAGAATAAACCTACTAAACATCTGTACTCTTAAAGAAACTAATCAAGAGGGAGGACTCTTGCTAAAATGCTCAATCCCTATCCAGAAAGGTAAAGAGGCTGGACATCAGAAGAAAGAGAAAAGAGGGAACAAGTCAGGAGCCTGATACAGAGGACCTCTGAAAGGCTCTGCCTTGCAGACTATCATTGCAGATGCTGAGACTTATGGGCAACCTTTGGGCAGAGTGCAGGGAATCTTAGGAAAGAAGTGGGAAACAGTAAGATCTGGAGAGGACAGGAACTCCACAAGGAGAGCAACAGAACCAAAAAATCTGAGCACAGGGGTCTTTCCTGAGACTGATACTCCAACCAAGGACTATGCATGGAGATAACCTAAGACCCCTGCACAGATGTAGCCCATGGCAGTTCAGTATCCAAGTGGGTTCCATTGTAATAGGAACAGGGACTGTCTCTGACATGAACAGATTGGCCTGCTCTTTAATTACCTCCCCCTGAGGGGGAAGCAGCATCACCAGGCCACAGAAGAAGACAATGCAGCCACTCCTGATGAGACCTAATTGATTAGGATCAGAAGGAAGGAAAAGAAGACTTCCCCTATCAGTGGACTTGGGGAGGGGCATGTGTGCAGAGGGTGGAGGAAGGGAGGGATTGGGACAGGAGGAGGGAGGGAACCACAGGGGGGGATACAAAGGGAATAAAGTATAATTAATAAAGAATTAAAAAGAAAAAAAAAGAGTCGGGCAATAAACCGTGTTTTCTTTCTCACCACTTTCCAACTTAGAAATTTCTAATGTGAGTGACACCTTAACTGTGATGTCTATTGGGTCTATGTGTGGAAATCACCAAAAAAGCAGAATAATAAAATAATGATCGCTCCAAATTATGAGCCTTGCGCTAGCAAGATGGTTCAGTAGGTAAAGGCACATGAAGCCAAGGTAATGACAGAGTTCTATATCTGTGAGCCACATTGTAGAAAGAAAGGACCAATTTCTATAGGTTGTCCTCTGAGTCTCTGACTTCTATATATTTATAGGGACATGGGCTTATGCATACCCCTCCCATATGCAAATAAATAAATGCAATAAAATCTCAGCCTCTGTAGGCTAATTTCTAACCTTAAAAGAAAGAAAAATCAACTCACACAACGCAAAGCAAGAACCTACAATAGTGTTAAAAATAAATACTCAAGCTAAGACTGACCCTGGAGATGATGATGGCTGGATACTGTCTGCTGACCTTACTACCTGAGATAAACCACAGATGAAGCCCCAACCGATCAACCACATAATGTAGGACAAGCAAATAAATTTGGTTGGTCATTGGAAGAGAGCAAGGAATAGGGTAAAGGCACCCTACTTGCCCTGCCTGTGTTCTACAGTTACAGTAATTACACTACAGAAGCATCTGTCTTCCCCCAACTATTTTAGCTGAGATATTACAAAGACGACTTATGCACACAAGATGATAATGACAGATATTGCCTCAAAAGTGGGTCATGGGAAAAAAAAACTGCACTGTTGGTAAGTTAAAGCATAATAGTGCTATTTGTCTCTTTGGACAATTCTCATCATCCTAGAAAGAATCATGTTTGAGCATACTGGAAGCAGCAGCTCTCAAATAGGACCACAGCAACTTTTGTTTTTTGTTGTTGTTCATTTACTCTGTTTATACCTAATTTCAATTTTTACTTATGCAACCTATGAGGGATCATTTGAATATTAAACCTGTGTATTTAAATTCCTCCTGAGGGGATCTGAGACAAGATAGCTCTTCTTAGAGCGAGACTATAGGCAAATCTGAGAAATTATGCACTGCTAAAATTCCAGGTGGGAGGAATCAGTGATATAGCTCAGTACTAATAGGTCTCAGAAATGCATGGAATGGCCCCTTTCATTTGGTCTGAAAATAACTTAATTTCCAGAATTTCAGATACCATAATACTCAAGCAAATGCAGGAAGCACATTCTAAATGAATCTAAATGATTTTTAGATTAATTTCAAGTGTTACATCTTTTTCTAGGGAGCTGATCAAACATAACATATGCAGTAAATACATTCTAAATTTTATGCATTTTTGCATATGTAATTATATGATTTATGTTACTTAAAACTATCTCAAGAGAACAATGTAGTCCCATTTGCCCATGGAATAAATAAGTTGGATACTTGAACTTTTATTAGGTCCATTCTCATAGCTCTAATAAACTTGGGCTATGTCATTTGGCCAGATTGGTTTATAAATTTTAATAGGATGGCCACAGCAACCAGTTGTTAATTGTGTTGAATTAAGTTTGCATCTTCTTATTTAAGTTGCAGACTTAATTGCAGACTCCTAGCAGATAAAGGCCTTTCAGAAAGTTGTGATGGCTATTGTGAGAGATGAGAAACAGAAAGTCCAAGTCATTGCAAAGACTGACCTGTGCATGGAAAGTGGTTTGAAATAAGAAAAACAACAACTATTTTTTACTATTTCCATTCCATAATTAGCATTTAATAAAAATTATTTTTGAGGAATAAGACTATATATATAATAGCTAGTTTAGAAAAGTGAAAAAAGTTTTCCCAGCAGTTTTAGGGATATTTGAAGTTGATTTTGAAATGAGTTAAAACTTTAAAATTCTATTTAAATATTTTAAAAATATTTTCCAAAATGTATACAAAAAGAAACCTACTAAAATCTGTACACCTAAAGAAACTAATCAAGGAGAGGACTCTGGCTAAAATGCTCAATCCCGATTCAGAAAGGCAAAGAGGATGGACATCAGAAGGAGGAGAAAACAGGGAACAAGATAGGAGCCTACTACAGAGGGCCTCTGAAAGGCTCTACCCTGCAGGGTATCAAAGCAGATGCTGAGATTTATGGCCAACCTATGGGCAGAGTGCAGGGAATCTTATGAAAGAAGTGGGAAATAGTAAGACCTGGAGAGGACAGGAGCTCCACAAGGAGAGCAACAGAACCAAAAAATCTGGGCCCAGGGTTTTTTTTTCTGAGACTGATACTCCAATCAAGGACCATGCATGGAGATAACCTAGAACCACTCTACAGATGTAGCCCATGGCAGTTCAGTGTTCAAGTGGGTTCCATAGTAATGGGAACAGGGGCTGTCTCTGACATGAACTGATTGTCCTGCTCTTTGATCACCTCCCCCTGAGGAGGGAGCAGCCTTACCAGGCCACAGAGGAAGACAATGCAGCCACTCCTGCTGAGACCTGATAGACTAGGATCAGAAGGAAGGGGAGGAAGACCTCCCCTATCAGTGGACTGGGGGAGGGGCATGGATTGAGAAGGGGGAGGAAGAGTGGGATTGGGAGGGGAGGAGGGAGGGAGCTACAGGGGGGATACAAAGCAAATAAATTGTAATTAATAAAAATTAAAATTAAAAAAAGAAATTGTGCTCAACAAAATTATATGAAAATTGGCATCATTTAATATTGATACAACCAAAGAGAAATACATTTGTGATTATTACCTGTTCCCACTCCATTTCCATTGGCTGGCCTTCTAGGTTTGGTTTTATCAGGTCTTATAGTTGTTTTGTTGAGAACTACAACAAAGTAGGGATTAAACAGTTTAGACATTCCCTTGTTAAAAGTTTACAGCCAAGAAAAACAAAACTTCTCAGAGAACTGAAAATCATTTAACTAGGCAATAAAGTAATGACAATTCACATACAAAAAAGAATCCCTCATATGGTCCAGAATATAGTATAAAGAAACCACATTCTGGTTTGAAAGTCATATGCTTTCATAGATAAAAATGCAAATCTGAATCTGTACTGAGACGGACACTGGACTCCAATTTTTGTTCTTGAAAAAAAGTAAGTGGCAAGAGAATTTTTAATTCTGAGTGGGAATTATTTGACCTTGTTCCCTGTGTATGCTATAAGACACATTCTACAATAGAACTGAAGAAAAATCAAGAATACATTACATCTAGTGGAAAACCAAGACCTGAAATGTATTTAGAGTCAAGACCACCATTCATAACTCATAAGTTTGTGGTCCTTTTGTAGACATCTGTAAATACTATTTAATTACAATAGTCTTTGTATACATCCATTGTTGAGCACTGAGTCCTGACAACACCATGGCTCTTTTCTGTTTTTTAGAAAATCAAACACTGAGTGTGCCTATATGCATAAGATTTAGAGCCAGATTGCCTGTCTTTTCTGATTCCTCTCAGCACCCCAGTTTCCTAAAATACCTCCCAGGAAACATGGTAAGCACTCCGTCATTGTCAACTATTACTATTTCTGTAATTTACAGAAATGTTCAGTCACATAATAAGTCAGTTCACTCACTGATTTTTGTAACAGCATGTCACACAGAAATACCTTCTTGTAATAGATTTTTCTATCTAATTACCTTGAAGAGTTAGAGATCATAGCCAAAATATTGGCTCTCTATATGAAGGAGTAGGAGTTAGCAGCTTCCCAGGAGGCAGGCAAAGAACAAAGGTTCTAAGTAGATTAATATGTATTTTTACATGGACATTTAAGATAGATAGATAACTTCCTGCTCCTCCCTCCCCAAGAAAAACACTTAGTGGGATTTTAGCCATCTCCCCCCCCAACACCTAAGGAACTGTTGGGGGCACTAATATGGAAGGAAACAATTTATTGCTCTTTCTATGTCCAGATTATCCAACACCCTGGGACAACCCAAACTAGCCAGTTCCCAGGGACAAAATGGAATTCATTTTATTTCCACACATATCCACGCCTCAGAATCCAGATCTGGGTCCTCTTCCCATCTAGAGACTCTGCCTCTCTCGACTTGGTTGTCTTTGTGCTGCTGCTTTCAACAAGATCTGGCTGAGTGATGGAACCTTGCTTTCCTGCCCTTTTATCCTTTACATTAGCATAGAAAAAGAAACCATCCCTGCATCCGTGGATGGCCTCACTCTGACAATAATATACGTATACTTGAATATTACATACACAATATTCCAAAAACATAAAAGCATTGTCTCCCTTCTGTCACATACCTGAAGATACTTTCATAAAGACCACACCTTTATGAATAACTGTGCTCATTTAGTACCTCAAAAATCCCTACAATCACAACAGAAAAGGACAAGAAGCACCAGACAGGCTTTAGCTGGTGACCACTACAATGCTTGTTCTATACAAGAACAACTAACTGAGCAAGTAGTCCTTCTTTAAATTCCAAAGAGAGTATAGTTACAATCCCTCTCTGATTTGGTAAGTATGAAGTATCTCTAGAGACAGAACTATAATTTTTGTTGTTTGTAAATATTTTTATTCTTTGAAGCGTGAACAAGAATTCCTGGATCCAAGTGAGTACCCTAGTAAGGGAAACAGGGATTATTTCTGACATGAACTCAATGGCTGGCTATTTGACCTTCCCCTCCCCCTGAGGGAGGAGCAGCCCTGCTAGGCCACAGAGGAGGACTTTGCAGCCAGTCCTGATGAGACCTGATAAACCAGGGTCAGATGAAAGGGGAGAAGGAACCTCCCCTATCAGTGGATTTGGAAAAGGGCAAGGAAGAGATGAAGGAGGGAGGGTGGGATTAGGAGGGAAAGAGGGAGCAGGGTACAGTTGAGATACAAAGTTAATAAACTGTAACTAATATTTAAAAAAAGTTAAAAAAAAGAATTCCTAGAAGGAATTTGTATCAGCCAAGCCTGATTGATTGGAACTGCAGTGATTCATAGAATGTTGGAGGTCCAGAGCTTAAATAACTTTGGGCTACCATTAGCCACCTAAATAGCCATTCCTTATTCACCTTGTGGGCCTCCTGTAACTAACAGATAAACCCTTAGCTAAAAAGAGTGTTGGCTTCTGCCAATGCAAAAGCTAAGAATGTCATCATCAGGTAGTATCTGAAGCTTGCAAGAGAGATTCCCCCATCTTCCTGTACTCTACTCTGCCTTTCAGATGTTTCTACCAATTAAAAACAAAGTGTTGATTAATTACAACTTTCTTTGTTCTGTCACTGTAAAACTTCCCAAACATGATGAGGAAGACTGGAATGTATATTCCTGGGTCATGGTCACTCATAATTTTAGCTCCAGAATAAATCATGTCTCTTACTGAGGTGAGAAACATTTGATGAGAGACAGTATAAAGTAAAACTATTCTCTTCGAAACTAAAAACTTTCTCTTACTAGGATGAGGATATTTATTTCCCTGAGGCAAGAAAAGACATTTGAAATTGTCACAAAAACATTTAAGATGTGTGCAACTTACAAATAAACCTCATTAAAATATTTTTATATTTGTTCAGTTCCATGGAGGTCACTGAATCTAAACATCCATTAAACAACAACAACAACAACAACAAAACCTTCAAGTCTTATCATATCAGTGAACCAAGCCCATCAATGATCCACAGGGATCAGAATTTCTGTGTTTCTTTTATTTCAACCAGAGGGTACATGTCCTGGATCCCTGCTTCCAAATTAGGAAATTTGGCTGTTTTTATGCCATTCTATAGCTTTCCCACACTGGTAAATGCACAGGGCATCAGATAAAGAATTGCTCTCTTACCAGGCCTGGCATGTGGTCTGTCAGGTATTCTGGGCCTCACAGGAGTCGTGTGCAGTCTGTGTGGGGCTGAAATAGAAGACACACTTTATACCCAGTAGCTAGTACTCCAAAGGCCAGCCAATTGGCCTACGTTACCCTACAGACCAGTATACTTCACATAGACGTAGAAAGAACATTCTGAAATTGCCAGTTATTCGTTACCTACTTGATGCAATAGGGATATAAAGCAATTGAAAATACTCGTGGCTGAAAAGCAAAGGTACACAGAATGAGGTAGGTAATTTGTAATATTAAGAATCAATCAGTTAGTCTGTGCTTGTCAAAAGTATTAATTTATCAGATGGTTGCTTCACATGATAAATGTTTAGCCTTGCCATCAATCTACTTACTCAACCATCTATCCAGCCAGCCATCTACCCAGCGAGCCATCTATTCAGCCACCCACCTACAGCCAATCATCTATCCAGCCAGACCTCTCTCCAACCAGCCATCTTTCTCAATGAGGAACTATGGAACATCACTTTTCCAAAGAAAGCAATCTTAAGGGTTAAAAACAGTTTAAAAAAAAAAAAAAGGAAAAATTAGATGGCTAAGGAAAAATAATGGTAACCCGGGCTTTATCAAATTTGCTTATAAACTCTGAAATGAATAAACAGTCACTGTTTATAATTGCTATACAAAGCAGTGAAAATGGCGGCTGGCGTCCCACCTGTCAAGGAATAGGGAACAAGAAATCCCCAGACTAGCATGTTACCTCCTGTGATTTGGGGCCTGCCCATGAAGGAGCAGTAATGAAGCCTTGCTGAATGACTACGTGAATGACCACTGCAGGCAAATTTGAGAGAAGGTACAGAACTATTTTCGCTTCCTTAGGCATTAAAGGATGTGCTCCTTCTGGGCTCTACCAGCCGCAGTTCTCTGCGCACTGAGTAGATTCTACAGCCAGAATTTTTTTCTTTTTTGTAAACTGTACAAACGTTACATCATTTAACAGTTTTGCTCACATCTTCAGTGGATATTTATTAACCATAAATCAGCAATGTCTTGCCTGCCAGGCTTAAAAAAAAAATAACACCTGTGAAACAGCTTACACTGTAGCTCTCACTTAGAAGCCTCCAATGTGAAGGCTTTGATGAGCAGGATTTTGCCATAGAGCGGGCCAACAGTGCAGACTGAAATCCTGCAGGGGCCATCCCAAAGGTACTAACCACAGTGGATACAAATACTGCGTTAATGCCCACAGAGCCAAAAAAACGCCTCATGATGATTCGCAAATGGCTCCCTTTGATTTTCTTAAAGGATGGTAAAAGTGCCAGTCATTCTAACCCATTTCTGCTTTTCATGTACATCCCTTTGAACATTTGATTGCTTGTGCTGAAGAGACCTAAAAAGGATCATGGCTCTTATTTTCTTCATCATAGAAAATACAGGGATTTTCAAACTCTACACAGGAAGGAGATCAAAGCAGGGTGCAGAAATGCCCAGCACTGTGCCATCATTACTTCAACACCAGGGCACGAGAGCTTTTGTTCTAGTTTTTCGAGGAAGAAATTAAAGAGCTGGAATACAATATTTTTTAGGCTGTGAGGCACTCTGAGAGCATGTGGCCCAGAGAAAACTAATCTTTATTTATTTATTTTTATTTATTACAGTTTATTCACTTTGTATCCCAGCTGTAGACCCCTTCCTCGTGCCCTACCAATCCCACCCTCCCTTCCTCTTCTCCTCCCATTCCCCTCCCCAAGTCCACTGATAGGGGAGGTCCTCCTCTCCTTCCATCTCACCCTAGCCTGTCTGGTCTTATTAGGACTGGCTGCATTATCTTCCTCTGTGGCCTGGTAAGGCTGCACTCACCTCGGGGAGGCGATCAAAGAGCCAGCCACTGAGTTCATGTCAGAGACAGCCCCTCCCTTACTAGGGAACCCACTTGGAGACTGAGCTGCCATGGGCTATATCTAATCTTAAACATAATTAAGAAAGGCAGAGGAGCTTTGTGACTATGTAACAATATAAATAGTACTGCCTCCTGTTTTTGGGGTGACCAATAATACAAAAAATTAAAGATATTTCATATTCATTTTAAAAACTTATAAAACATTAAAATAAAGCATATAAACATCAGAAATAAATATATAGTGATAACAGAAGCACTGAGCTCTGCCAGTTCCAAATGGAGAAGGAACAAAAGCTGAAAGTCAAACAATGAGGACTCCTTAAAATGCCTATAGTACTACAATGTACTGAAGTAGAAAGTTAGGCACTTAGATGATTTGGTGGGTGAAAATGCTTGTTGGCAAGCTTGGCAAGCTCAGTGTGATCCCAGAATCCGGTGGTGGAAGGAGGGAAGCAATGCTGTTAAAGGCATCTAACCTCCATACACATGCCATGGCACGGCCACAAATGTCCTCTCATCACACCCATATGTACATGCAAAACAAATACATATAGAAACAAAACTGGGAGGCACAGAGAAACCAGCTTAGGTTGTGGCACTTTGTGTGGGAATTGTCTCAGCAGAAGCGGAAACAAGGCTGCCACAGAGAAAATACAAGGGAGAATCTAGTAGCTGGGTTCCGTTGTGGCCGTAGGAGTACCGCTGCCGAGGGTTTGCGGTCCCACAGGCTCATGCATCAGTGGCACACATATGGTTAGAGCACAACATCTGGAGGAACGATTTCATCTCTGTCTCTAGTCTCTCAGTTGGAAGGTGCCATATGAGGACTGGACCTGAAGAACCTCAGAGTCAGGCACAGCTTATGAAGAAGGTCCTGATAGCACATGGCTTGTCTTCATCAAAGCTGTCCCCCTCTGCTTCTAGTCAGGGTTATTGAAAGGCAGCAGTTTGTGGGTCTTCCTCTTCTCCCTGATGATGGCTTCCTTCCCAGTTATTATTTGATATCTCAAACAACTATCTTGGGTGAGCCTAAACAAAAGATCTGAGGAAAAACTAGGAAAGTATAAACTCTAGGATAACAGAGAAGTGCCTCAAACTTAGAATTATCTGGACAGACAGACAGACACACCATTATACAATCCTTCTGAGACAATTTTGTTGAAGTGGTGCATTGTTTGAGTGTGAGGATGATGCTGCCATTCCAGATAGTAATGTGATTTGTAAAAACAAAACAAAAAACAAACAAACAAACAAAGAAACAAACAAAAAACCCAAAGCCAGGGAAAGAAGGTGCAGGAAAGCTGCCGTGGTGCTTCTTATTTCTCTGCATATTTGTAAACAAATAAGAACCGAACAAATACAAACTAAATAAACTTTGAATTGGAAATTTTAAAATTAAAAACTTAAGCTAAACAAACATGATTTAGAGTTAGAGACCCTAGTGTCGGACCACATTCGTCCTAGTCATGATTGCTCAGGCTGTCACTGCTGACACGGTGCCTTCCTTAAAGTTACACTTACTTATTGTTGTCATTTTTCTTGCTGTTACTTATTACTTTTCTTTCTTCCTTTCCTTCCTTCCTTTCTTTAATTTTTAAATCTATTTTGCCTTTTTTTTCCAGGCTGGCCTTGAACTCACAATCTTCCTGTCACTCCCAGATGCTGGGATTACACTACTATATAATTACTAGGCTCTTCTTAATTAGACCTTCATCTGTCAATGTTCTCCCTCATATTGGAATTGATAATGGACAGAACAGAGTTAAAGGTCTTCCAATTCCTTTAAAAAGTTTGCTGCTGATTTATTTGTTTTGGCTTTCTGCCATTTGATACAAATGAGCCAAAGGGATCATACAAACAGCAGCAAAAATAACACATCAGCCTTAGAAACCAGAAAATGGTTATAACCCAAGTATGTTAGAATTTAACGAAAAGGACTTCTGAGAAAATGAAGACTAAGTGTTGTGCAGGTGAGTTCATTTCCCCAGAGACAGAGCATCACAAAGAACACATTCCTAAATATCTAACTACACTCAATAATTAAAAAAAAAAGATTTTTCTTATTATTAGCTTTTCTCAGCTCACAATAACAATGGGTTTTATTCATGCTGAGGAGATGACAGAAGGGGAAAAAGAAAGAAAAGAGGCGAGGAAGAGAAAAGAAAGAAGGATGATGGAGAAGGTTTTCCTTAGTCATTAGATATGAAAATCAGGCTTATGAAGGTTCATCAAGGAGGAAAAAGCCCTAGGGGCTTTAAGATTAATTATCAGCATCCTGCAAACACATTCGAAGTGCCAGCAAAAGAAGCTGTGTATAAAAATGACAGTCGATTTGCCTGAGGTCCTTCATCATTAATATGAAATCAATTAAGTAGTTCACTCTGGCGAGGAAATACCATCTGAAAGCAAGATTTGTTTCTTGATTAAAGGAAAATGAGGGAAAATTTCCCTCCAAGAGTGGAGAAACAGCATTACCCCGAGTTGTCTTTGGCAATTCAGTCGTTCGTGGAATCTTCGTTGTGAAGAGCTCTTGGGTAGACTGGTCTGTTTCTTCTAAGGAAAAACAGAGTAGCATGCCTTGTTTTAAAGAGCCATCACCATGAGCATAAGAAAGTGCAAGTCAGAGAATAACAAACAGCTCAAGCTATTCCCTACCCTTTTTATACTAACTTAAAGCATGTGTAAATGACTTATCTCTGTTGCCCTATGTCATTATTTTAATGATTATAATAAGGACTTCCAAGGCAGCTTTGAGTTCAGGATCCTTTTGCTTTGTTTTTGCTTTTATTGTGCTGGGGACAAAGCCCAGGGGCATCATATGTGCTAGACAAGTGCCCAGCCACCGAATGAAAAGCCCAAGATAGCTGTTTTATGAGGCTGCTATCTTTGGATGTAGCCAAGGTTTGAAAACACCTTAAACGTCTATGCACTTGTCTTTTTGTCTCTTTTCTATTCTACAAGTTATATATAGAAAATAAATAGATCACATGAAAAGATGTTTATTTCAACCATAGAAGAAACATCCTTTTATTATCTATTTGTCAAAATAAAAATGTATGTTTACTGACATTTAGACATGTTTGTCTTGGCAAAATAAGTGCTACTTTCATGTTATCCTGAAATTATTACATAATGACAAGGTAGATTATATTGTTTACTCTGGCACCTTAAAGATCAAGGAAATAGCTGGTGGTAGTAATATTGCCCCCTTTTTACTTGACTTAGTTTATTCTCTTTATTCAGTTTTCAAGAAGAGATTTGTGATGGCTGACAAAGATGGTTTATCCTTCAATAAACCCAGAAGCAGGGGCTGGAGAGGTGGCTCAAAGGTTAAGAGCACTGGCTGCTATTCCAGAGGTCCTGAGTTCAGTTCCCAGCAACCACATGGTGGCTCACAGCCATCTATAATGTGACCTGATGCCCTCTTCTGGCATGTAGATGTACATGCAGACAGAACATTGTATACATAATAAATAAATCTTTAAAAAAAATAAACACAGAAGCATTGAAAATAAACAAAACAAAATGGGGAGTGGAAATTAGGTGATTAGTATATTCAGTGGTAATTTTTGTAAAGTGCTTTTAACTTTACCATTTTATGACTGACTTTGTAGACATAAGCTAGAATGCTATATGTTGTTAATCATTAGGATATACCTGCTTATTCCACTTAAAGTGTTGTTCCAAATGTACCTCATTGAAAAATATGATGTTACTTTAACACACATGCATGTGTGTGGACACACACACATTCACACACACACTGACAGATTTACTTGAAAAGGGATAAAGAGAGGAAACTAAAGCTTACTGAATGAAACAACTCTGCAGGATGCAATAAGGAAAAGAATGAAGAGGCAATAAACAAATGAGCTGTGGACTTTCCCATCATTTTCAATCATGACTCAGAAAATGCATTTCCACAATTGGGGACATACTTATGTTGAATTCCTCAAAAGCAACGGGTCATATCAACCACTTCCTTGTCTAATCCATCGGCTCTCTGCAGCTAACCTATAAGTTCTGTGGGTTTCTTATTATATCTTAAATTCTCTCTAGAATGCTTGAAGTATAAACCAATGAAAATGCTATGAAAACAGTTACTGTATTATGCCATTTGAGGAACGATGACAGGAAAAACACCGGATCACTTTCAGAAAAATTTTTTCAAAGAGCTGTTTGGATTCAGGAGAGCTGACTGTACTTGAAACTTGACTGTCAAGATGCTTATAGAGTTTCTTATTTATATGGAAAATCTTGTAATGTAAAAGTTGAATAAAGCGAGCATGATACTTTTAGGGCAACCCTCAAATAATGAGCTCCTGTGGAGCAAAATAACACAATTTACCCTGGACAGTTTGTAGCTCCTCTTGACTAGGTCTTGGTGAAATCACAGGTATGAGAGGGATGTCCTGTGTCTCTAAAGGTGCTGCAAAAGAAAAGTACTAATTTGGCAAGTTATTAAGTCAAAGCCAGCAATAAACCAGAGTGGTATGGCAGGAGAGGCCTTCATTTGAGATACAAAAGGAAAAACATCCAAATGGCGAAGAAGAAAGTTAGTGTGTCCAGGACTCTCAGGAGAAAAACAATGGAATGGTTCTGTAATGGTACTTAACCATTTTCTACCAGGAAGCCCAGTAAATGATATTCTGTATTCTCCACTGCATAGGAGACCTGGCCAAGATGGAGTGTGTTTTGGATACCTTCCTGGTTTTCTGTTTATAGCTCTGTCTCTACCCATCACCCCAAAGCAGAAAAGATTACAAAAGGGTTCAGATTAGCTTTTTGAATCTGCTTTAATAAGACAAAAAAAAAATCACTGGCAGCTTTCATATTTTGACCAATATTAACTTTTTGCATCTTCTGACAAGCTTTGACATCCACTAACATGTTGCAGCATCACAGCTGAGACCCATTAACCAGCAGAAATTATTAACTAGATGGGAAGCAGGGAAAGCAGAGTTGTAGAGATAATGAGGTAGATAAGGGCAAGCTTGGTAATGAGACTTCTTGGGCTGGTCTCTGAAGCAAAACCTTTCAGAATTGAAACTGTACTTCTCTTTCTTAGAAACAGAGGCCAAGGTGACAATGACATCATGAAAGGAACTGAGAGGAGGTAATTTTTCAGTTAGAGATCATTTGAGAAAGAGCTGTTATATCCTTGATGGCATCAAAGAAAGTCAGCAAGCTGGTTGGTTAATATGGAAACAGCAACAACAAAAAACCCATTACCTATTGTTGTCTTTGGTGGCTCAACTCTAAAGGTGACAGGAGGCAGAACTATGCCAAAAGTAAACCAAAGAAACATTTATAAACATATATAAAGTACATAGTCAGATACTTTCTTTTCTAGATATAGTTATTTTAATAACTTGAATATTCTTAAAGAATCATGAGAAAGCTCTACTAGGTTCTAGTCAAGTTAACTCAATGTTTATTTAATCTACCAATCATAATTTGAGGAAAACATAAACAGGCAACCATTTTAAAACATAAAAAAACTACAAAAAAAAAAAACCCTACAGAAGAGTGTAAAAACCTCAGCTAATTTTAGCAGGATCTCCTCTTCAGTAAAAACATTTCCAAGGCAAATAAACCTATTTTGTTAGCCTACTTATATTTAACCAGGAAAAAACTTTAAATGATTATATGATTGAACTTTCTCCAAGAAAACATATTTCATAACTATACTTTTCTGTATCATGGCATATACATGTAATTTATACCAGGACTTTTAAAATATAAATACACTTTCTACCTAAGAAAAAGCAAATATTTTTACCAGTTTCACTGTGAGAGACCTCGAGGTCTGCTTTATGGGAAAGTTGTTCACCTTTTGGAACTGAAAGAAAAAGATTATAAAACATTGCATACTACCATAGTGAACATAATCATTAGGTAGAAAATCCCTAAAGCATGAAGAATGAAAAGGCTAAAGAGCAGAGCTTAGAAAGAATGATTATCCTTTCAAAATGGAAACTACGACTTCCTAGAGGAGGGTCTGGTTACAGTAAACAGATGGTCATAGTTCATACTGAAGCCACCCTTAGAGAGAGAGAGAGAGACAAAAAGAGAGAGAAAAAAGAGAGAGAACAAAGAGGAAATGGTACTATAGACACGGAGGTAGGCTTTTTGTAGGTTGTTTCAAAGCTTTCAAAAAGAAACTTTTTGAGCTGAAGTGGTAGCTGCCATTTGATACTAAAATTCAGATAGCTATAGAAAATATATTACATTAGATAAGTGAATAAATGGGTCACAGACTAAGATGAAAAACAAAATTCTCGAGTACCTACAAGGGGGACAAAACTTCATTGCAAGCGACACTTTAAAACATAGAAAGAAAATAAATCAAATGGAACTGGCTAGCCATTCGAGGAGGCTGCATGTGAAATGTATGGCTGTGATCAGTACAGAATAAATGCCAGACAAACACGGGCTACTGCCAGCTTCTGCCTTTCCTAGTGACATGGCTTATTTATCGGGTGTTATGCATACATGGCATATGAGAATATTAAGATAATTTTAGCTAAACGATAGGCCAACTCACATTAGACATACAATAGCGTTTAAATATTTGTTTTTTTTTGTTAGCAAAATGAAACAGATTGGCGGCTGACTGTCTTCTTACTGGGGGAAAAATACAAGAGTGATTTCCTGCCGCTCATATCAGATCTCTAAGCCAAAATCTTAACCAAGGGCAGGGTGCCCATATAGGGAGGCCCTGCTTAGGCCTACTTTCTTCATGGCTCTGCAAAGGCCATGATGATGCTAAGAAGAATGCAGTTTATAAATGCCTATTAACTACAGTACTAGGCTTGACACAGAAGAGCTGGGATTAGGGAAGGAAAGTAAGGAAGATGTGCCACTAACAAACGGGCCACACTGTAAACACATTAGCTGCTGCTGTTGCTGCTTCAGCTCCCTACAAAGTAAGGCCAATGTGGATTCCAGCTGCTAATGCTGGCTCTTTCCTTGTTAGTATGAAGTGGTGATTTAATAAACTACAGAGCAAACTTTCTAGTACAGACAATATCAGCAGAACATATAGCAGTTGAACGATTCCCAGAAAAGGACTATGAATCATGTTCCTACATGACCCACTGCTACTCTAAGCAAGTCGGAATCTCTCCCCTTTGTGGCTTTCATCTGCATATTAAACCTCATTAGATTAGAATCCCTAAAATCTGTCCTCCAGGCTGAGGGCATCTCATCAACATAAATCATGATGATAATTTATTTGGGAAGGCAGTTTTGATTTCCTTTTATTTACCGTTAGCCTATTGTTACTATATATAATTACGTTAACCAATTTTTATTAATATCAATTATGCTAATGACATTTTTAGGTAAATGGCTCACTCTAAAGAAAATTCAACTATCAAAAGGCACTTCTGGGTAGGCAATGTCAGGTAGGACAAAATAAAGTGCCCATGTATGAATGCTTCTCTAGAGTTCATTGAGAAAAATAGAGTTCATTGAAAAAAAAGACACTGTTTGACACTATGGTCTGTAAGAAGATTTATTCCGCCCATGAGCTGTAATCAGATTACCTCTCTTAGAAGGCAAAACAGGTAAACTCTGTGGGCTTTTTGCCTCAAAATTCCCTATTTCTCTGTTCTATCTTGGTAGCTTTACAGCTTGAATGAGAGTGGCCTTGACTCCCACCCCTTTGGAGAATACTGCCTAGGCTTTCCTTGTGCTACTGGCCACCCCCTTCCATCTTGATGAGGCATTAAGCTTCAATTATTTATTCCTATCCTAATTAGTTTGTTTTTAGGGTTTTTGACACAGGGTTCCATGTAGTTGAGACCGACTTAGAATTTCTGATTCTTTTGGCTCCAGCTCCCAAACACTGAGATAAAAGTATATAACTTTTTTTTTCCAGTATTGGGGACTGAACCTAGGGCCATTGGCATGCCAGCCAAATGCTCTACTCCTGACAGACATTCAGCCAGTTTATGCTATGGTTCTATCATTAGCTCATATTTCTCTTTCCATGAGTTCCCTCTCCTCCACCTATAAAGTTATTCAAATCCAACAACCCCCAACAAGACCCGCCAACAAGAAAAACAACAACAAACTTTGGTTCTAGAAAAAACATTCCGTTCTTGGCATAATTCTCTACCTCTTTATGGTAATAACAGCTTTCCTACAGGTGCAACTAGCATTCTTGCGGCACCTACGGAAATAAAAGCCAACAGACTGCCCAATAGAGGTATAATTGAATCAATCGCACACACATCAGCTCTCATATTTCAGTGCATCTGTGGGGGATGGCAAGGTCCACTCATCTTAAACACAAAATTAGATATTTACCAGGTGTGGTGTCTGCCACTTCGGGGCTTGGTGGCATTTGGGGTTTTGAAGGAGTATGCTGGGGTTCCTTAGGAACTGAAAGAGAGAACTCAGATCATGAGTCATTATGGTTTCTTGTTTCTTAGTCATGCCAACACATCAGGTCTTACAGGGAATAAGCTTGAACTGTAATAAAAACAAGGCAGCGGCAACACAGAGACAGAAAGGGAATATAAGCTCTGGAAATAGAACAGGTAGAAAGCCAACGAAAATTCCTCAGTTTTGGAAAATGAAGTCTGAGAAATCACAACATTTGACAAATTATTTTGATAAAGAGGTTTTTGTTTGATTTTAAGCTTCATGTCAGGGAAGACAGGAATAAGTTAGTATAGGGCTTCATTTTCTTTCTGGATGTGCTTGCTTGACTTGGGTTGATGATTGGGGTCAGGTTAAGTACTAGAGCCGAGAGTTGCAGCAGACACCAAGGGCCAGAGAGGATCACTGTGCTCAGATCCCAGGCTCTCAACACCCCCGTTCTTTGGGAAAGATGTTACTTTGCTCCTTATTATTAGTCAGAAAAAAAACAACCTGTCCTAAAGGGCAAGTGGGAGAACCAAAACTATTATTTACTTCTGTTCTTTTTTTAACTTTTATTTTTTTGTATTAGTTACAGTTTGTTAACTTTGTATCCCTGCTGTATCCTGCTTCCTCTCTCTCCCTCTCAATCCCACCCTTCCATTCTCATCTCCTCCCTGCCCCTTTCCAAGTCCAGTATTTACTTCTATTTTTAAAACTATATTTACTTCTACAAGACCAGTAATACCCAAACTTCTGACGATTGTGAGATCTCTAAGTATAAAAATAATTTAGAATCATTATTACCTACAAACACAGAACTTCATTTGCCTTATCAGCTTATAAAATATTGTTGATTATTTGTTTCAAACTTTAAGTCCTATTTTATCCTGAAGAACCAAATACAAATTTGAATTTTATAATGTAATTCATAGAGATACTCTAAAAGAGCTAGAAAGATAGCTTAACCTGTTAGAAAATTTTATACTGAAAAACAGTGGTGGATAAACATTGTGCTGTGCATCGAGATTCGCATAGAGTGTTAGCTGACGTATGGTCGGCTGAGCATACAGAATGTAAACTCATGCAGATGGCCTCTTCAAGTGTATGATATCCAAAGGCGATGGAGGAGAAGCGAGGATCTGAAGGTTTATTGTTCTAACATTTAATGAGGTTAGCAAGGTGGCTCGGTACGTAAAAGAGTCCTGACACCACTAACATGTTTGAAATAAACAAGTTCCTAACATTTTCCTCTAACTTTCACACTTGTGTAGCGGCACACACATACACACATGAACACGCACGTATGCGGATACCATCCCACACAAATTAAATAAACACCTAATAGAACAATAGTTTATGATACTTACGTGCACATGCACACACCCTTGAAAGGCTACAAAAATCTAATGTATTGTTTGGATCTGTTTTTATAGGGATCATATCCTCATTTTGAAAGGAAGAGATCTAACTTGCATCACTTAAAAAACATCATTAGAGGCGGGCATGGTGGTGTTCACCTATAAAGCCAGCACTTAAGAGGCAGAGGCAGGCATATATCTGTGAGTTTGAGGCCAGCCTAGTCTACAAAGCATGTCCAGGACAGCCAGGGCTACGCAGAGGAACTCTGTCTCAGAAACAAAACAAAATCATTACTACACATTTTGATATTCGTTGTTAGTTTTCCCTTATTAAATACCACTGATGATGTCAGAAGCATTTGGGTTGCAGATGCTGTTCACTGAAGAAGACAATGGACATGGACCAGAGCTGCCTCAGTTGGAACAAAGCTAAGAATCTCGTTTGCCAGCCCTCCAATCTTCCAGAGTTAGCATGAAGTGAACTGGGTTAGTTCTCTTCATTCTGAGCTTATAATCTTGTGTCGACTGAAAAGCTAATTTAAAATAAAACAAATCTAAAATTTGTGGCTCAATAATAGAAAATTATATGAAGAACCTAATTTACTGCACTGTAATTTATTAAGTTCAAAGTTTTCTTCAAAAAGATAAAATCATCATCAAATTTTTCATAGTAGTTTATATTCCTTCACTTAACTTTATATGAAGGAATTTATAGTCTGGGAATCTGGACTCCTAGCATTTCTTGCTTTGTCTTTTATCATTTTCTTGTTTTAAAATTTCCATTTTTCCCTGTTATTCTTGTCCTTCTTATATGTTGAATAAAATCATGTCAGCTCTTTGTCATGTAACGTTAGCAACTATTCAATTTTTATATCTAGCTTATTAATTTTAACCAACAAATGTAACATATCTGATTTATTAGTTATTCAAAATATTTTGACACATTTTAGCCCTGTATTTATTCACTAATTATTATTTCTTAATTACTCTTTAAGTATTTTACCAGGATTCCACATATCTCAATATTCTAATAATTTGTTGTGATTTAAAATTTCTAATTCTTTGCTGAATTTTGCATTTGTACCTTTATATATTTGCACCTCAAAATATTATTGTCACAATAAAATTTGGTAATTAATATGAACAGATTTGATTATATACAAAGTATGACAGATTTTTAATTATTAGTGAGAAATAAAACAGAATATTCTTTCATGTCATTTTTTTCTAGAAAAATAATAAACAGAATCAAATTTTAGTGGTCATACCTAAAATAACAACAGAAAATCTGAAATTATTTAAATTATTCCTGGTAGGATTCAAGAATTACCACCTGAACCAAGACTAATAGGTTTACTATATTTGGTGTACTAATATGGTGTAATAATATAGTAATTATTTTGTTCCCACTTCTGTACCATTAGTGTGAGTAGCATTCCTTTCCTGGTTTCGTGTGCAGGTGGACCTAGGGTAATTTCTGGAAGCAGTACTCAGATTAGTGTTCATTTAAGTTGTGTGATTGGGAGGGTGGTAGGAGCACATTATGGGATAGGAGAAAGGCCTGGAAGGTAGCCTAAAACTGTAGGGAAAGGGGAGTAAGCGGTTCTTCCAAGAAAACCTATTATTGGCCATTCCCATCTGAAACAATAAGACATTAGGGAAGCTTTGTAGATTCAGCTCTGCCAGTGATGTGCTTTCTGATGAAGCCCAGAAATAAATGCAAATACTTTAGGTTACCAAAGAAAGGGAGCCTTATTTGTAGATGGCTAAAAACTCATTCTGCTAGAACTGAGAAAGTAAATCACCAACTTCAAGTTTTAGACATTAAAGAATAAGCTTTGCAGTTACCTGGCAGTTTTGCTGAGGTTCTTGGGCGTGGTGTTGTTCTGAGCCTGGGAGGTATGCCGGGTGTTTGCCTGGGAGCTAGAAGAAAGACACAGGTTCACAGCTTGGGAGCCCTTGACCCTTCCAAGAACTATAACGTTTTCCAGAAGCCCAAAAGTATTTGCAGGGCGACTGAAGATAAATAAAGCAAATAATTGCTGTCAAAATCCCTAGAGAGCTGCCAAGAAGAGGGAGATTACAGTTATAGGATAAAAGAGGTAGATTAAACACCCCTCAAATATTCAGCTTGCTAAAGAAAACTGTTGGCAATTTTGAAATATCTACTTCAAGCACTTTTTAAATAGGTTAAAAAAACAAAGCACACAGTTACCAAGCCACATGTCGTCAGGAATATGCAGATGTATTCTTTAAATACAAACACATCTTTTCACAGTAAAGAAGTTATTATGATAAAAATTCATGTAGAATGATTTAAGTAGCAAGTCTAATGGAAATAATTAGCATTACTAAGCAAAGCACAATTTATATATTGGCTATATTGGGGAAGAAAAATTGAGTGTCAAGGAGACTTCTCTACAGAGCATTGTTCCTTCACTGGAGAAACTCTATTGAAGGCTCTAGAGCAATTGGTATAAAGAACAATTGTTTTTTTTTCAGTGAAAAAGTTAAAAATGTATCCCAACGAAGGAAAGGAATTGTCAGGTCCGGGGCCACAGCCTCTGAGAACGCTGCCTTCAGTAGAACTAAAATGATAAAGATCAGAACACAGAGAATGGTATCCCCAGTGCCATGCAGCTCTTGAGAAAAAGCATGCTGAAAATAAGAATTATTTGGCATTGGAAGTTGGATAGGAAGGAACAAAATGGAGTTAATACTATTTAGTTTAAGAACTTTTAAGAAACAGTCACTAAAAATGAGTTGTTAGATACTGGGAGTGTACGTGAGTTTGCATGGTGGGCTTCAGGCTGGCTTCTTCCTGATAATAATATGCAAGGTAATTTACAATATATAAAGTAAATGATGGTTTCAGTGCAGTTCTCTGGCCTGTAAAGAGACAAATACTAAGATACACAAAGAGGTTACTTTGGCTTAATAACCTGGTGGTTTAGACCACCATTTGTTAGTCAAGGTCAACAGGTACATTTACCACCAAAACTGATATGATGTTTAACAAGTGTTCTTATCCTTAAATTAATGATTTGAACTTCTTAGTGAAGTCATGGGCCACCCCCCCCTTTATTGCTGAGATCCTAATTAATGTGCTATTTGCTCTCCCAGGGCACAGAACACCATGTGAAGACGAAGGCATGTTAAGAAGCAATTCCAGGAAATGCAATCTGTGACAGTTGGCCAGACATAGGAAATCCACCTGGTGATCTCAGTGCTAGGAAGGATGAGGCAACAGGATCACGCGTTCTGGACCAGCATGGCCTACCCAGCAAGCCCTTGTTCTCATAAAACAAAAACAACAACAAAATTGCAGGTAATATATACAATTAGACACTCAATAATATGTTAATAGGCTTTTGAAAGATTTTTTTTGGCAATGGTAGTTGTAACTGACATGAGATAGATTTGTTTCATGTAGTCAATGTAGACTTTGGCTAAAAAGTTAAACATTATCATTTATTAGGCAACATTATTTAATAAGTGTTTTAGAATATAGTCATCAAAATTAATATTCTATGTCTCCTGGAAACAGAACCATATAAAACAGTGTTTTGGGGAATGGGGGATGAGTATCTAACTATGTCGCCAAGGCTGGCAGAACTCATAGCAGTCTTCCTCTTTCAGCCTCACAGAATGCTAGGGTTACAGGCATGAACACCACACCTGCGTTAAAATGGTTTAGTGACAACCAAAACAGACACCAGACACTTGGGCCTATTTATGGCTAAATCCTATTCCAAAGAAAACTGTGGGTACTGCAGAAATTCTACTGTCCATGAAGGTGACTTGTTTTCATCAGGATCAAACTCCACTCTCAGGGAAAACTTTATGGCTAGTAGTTTAATTGCAGTTTCTCAAATACCAGGAGTGTAGAGTGAGACTCCAGCCTATTGAAAGAAGGAGCAGACAGTAGTGAGGCCCCTGAATGAAGACAAGGGGACCGATTGTATTATGCGCATTATACAGCAAAATCTCTTTCTGTCAGTATTGTATAATTTCAAACACAAGGAAGCGACCTCAAAAGACTTCACAGTTATAAAGCTAGTCAACACAGCATAGGAATCCAAATAAATTTACACATATACTTTAAAATAGAATAGAATGTGTATACTTTTCCTCATAAACATTCCTGTTTCCTGAGCTAAAATATTTAAAGCGAGGTTGAGGGTATTTTTCAACATTATGTTAAGAGTATTCACATTACCATTTGAGAGACAGATTGGTGACAGCAGACAGACAGAGAAGCGCTATGTCAGAAAAGCAGGCTCACCCATCAACGCCTGAGAAGGGCAAGAGTCGGGGCTTCTCATGCACGGGTCACGGTGTCATTTTGCAAACACTCACCTCATATGCAAAACGCAAACAAGAAAGTGTATTTACCAGGTTCAGTCTGAGGCGCATCTGGTCTGGGTAGGATTATAGTTTGGGAAGGCAGAGTTGATGTTTCTATGGCAACCGAAGGAAATTATGTGGGGTTACTATCGTGCTAGGCACACTCAGATTACAGACAACAGTTAGGATGGTTATGAACAGATGTCAAAAATAAGAAAATGGCTAAACTGCAGGAAATCAGCATTCCTATACTTCTTCACAACTCATTCCATTTACAAAGTATAGATGTCAGATTGCAAAATACTTCTGAGACAAGCAATATCATTACTTCTAATATCTTCACGTCCCCCACAATGCTTAAATGACATATTCAATAAGAACTATGAAGGAAAAAGGTAAATTTAAAAATATAGCACATGCCAGTTAAGAAGTATAGACTTTCACTTGGATGACAAATAACAGAGAGCCAAACATGTTACGCCAACATGATGAAAAGACTGTTAATGGAAAGTACATCACTAGGTCAGGAAGTATGAATGGATCATGATCTTCAGTGAAACAGTACCTAGCAGGCAGTGACCACAATATTAGGAAAAATGCTATATTTTATATTGCACAGTTTGCCTAACACAGAATAATAAGAGATCAAGATATTAACCAAAAAGCCACTTTTGGACAATGATTATGAATAGAAGCACCTAAGGAAGAAAATTCAACAACAGCGAAAGAAAACGCCACATGGATTTACAATAAGGGTGGTCCTGAGACTCTCAGGATGATGCAATGAAGACAGAGAACACAGAGTTTGTTCTGCTGAGATGTCATTACCTAGCATGGTCTCAGGAAGCTCAGACACATGTGTAAGAGACTCCACAACTGTATCAAAAAAAGGAGAATGGATTTAAAAACTGTAAGATGCTCATCTCCACAAGTGTTTCTCCAGTATTTGCAACCTCATTCTCAAGAATTTATGCAGTAATTTAACAGAAAGGACAATGGATTTTAGATGGGACAAAGGGAAGAAGTCTTATAGTATTAAACCTCTAATATTCATACTTTGTCAACAACTGGCTTTAAAATGTTATTATGCCTCACTCTTCAGATACTATCAGATAAATAGGACATTTTTTTTCAGAGAGTGTCAACTATTGTGTTAATTTTAAGAATCTCAGAGCACTAGAGCTGCTGATTCATATAGCTAATTTCTAAAGCACACGCAGAATAAATGTAACTCTACAGGCTGATCCTCAGCAAGGGATGTGGACAGATCGGCACGTAGGTCGGAAGTATAGCTCTTCAAATCTTTTCAATCAAGTGATATAGCTCAAAAAGCAGAATAAGTGAATCATAACATGAAAACCTTTACCACCTTCTGTCCTTGGCTCCTCTGGCCTGAAAGGGTCTTTGGTGGTAGTATCTACATAGTCTGTTTCAGCTGGTGCTGGGGAAGAAACACGAAATGGCTGGTTAGTGGTGGGCAGCGTAAAGCAGTTTTTCATGGAACCCTGAATTTTATTGGAAATACAGCTTAGATATTATGAAAATTGTTGCAATTTAGTAAAGTAAAAATGAAGCCAAGTAAGGGAGCTTTTTGTATGGGAAACAAAAATAGACAGATACACACACACATAAACAAACAAACAAATGACTATCTGAGCCCATTACTGCAATTATTACCTAGATTACAGTAGGTAATTTTACTTCCTTACATGTTTTTGCATAAACATTTTAGTAATAAAAAAGTTACAGATGTTTGGAAACATAAAGACAAAGCCTATGATGATATGAAAATGATAAGTTACATGTACACGTATCTACAGATTCATGTGTATATATACAAAGAAAAATCAATTTTAAAACTGCAAATTTCATTAACTGAGTGAAAACTAGGGGAACTATTTAACTTGTATAACACTGTAATATAGCTGGCAAGAGTTTCTAAATGCATGATAGCTCTCAAGATCCACTGGATAGGCACAGAGAAGACACAAGAAGCAGGTGGCTATGAAATGTCACAAAGCATGACAACATCCAAGGATGCATATGCATTTTGCATTGAGATGGAAAAGCACATATTCTTGACTTCCCATTGGGGACATTTTTACCTATTGTCTTCCATGGTGACTCAGTACTAAGTGTAACCAATTCCAGGTCATCAGAAACTAGCAAAGGAAACAATGGAATAACTGGTCAAGGATATGCTGTGGTAAATATTAGGCAAATCAAACAAACTATCCTGGAACGGGTTGGATCCGTGGCACATGATCCAGTCGCCTGGTTCTGATAAAAGCCATTACATTAATAAGAGCACAAAAGGAACCCCTCATAATGAGGTGAATCCACAACATGATAACTGTTTTGGCTACCATCAATAAACACACCTTAAATCTTCAACAGAAGTACCAAACCATCAACTCATCTAATTAAAAGATACTAAGAAGAAATTATAATCCTATGCTAACAAATGGAATTCAAAATTTCAACAATAAGCTTTATATAACAGCAGCAGTATTCCTAATATTGATTGCTAAACAAAATTTAAATTTTCTTTATAATTTGAAAGAGAGTATACTTTA